ACACACACAAAACACCCCTATCCTCACACAACCCTCCTCACCCAGCTCTCTGCTCCCCACACGGGCTCAGGTCTCCTCACACACCGGCCCTGACCCGGCATGGGCAGCCCTACACACACACACACACACACACCAGACTGTCCTCAGGTAAAGCCTCACACACACAGACACAAACACCCCCTGTGCTCACACGTATGTGCCTGTACACAGAGCTCTCCTCACACATGCCTCTTGCCTGTAGTTGCACACAGCCTTCCTCAAAGCACCCTGCCTGTACTCACAGCCCTTCTTATGCACGCAGGCCTGTATTCACACGTGGTCTCCATCATATACAGGCACCACCTGTGGTTTTGGACAGCCTTCACGCTGCCTGTCCTCACACACACACACAYATGCACGCAGTCTTCCTCACACACAGACCACAGGCCATCCACATCCTGGGGAGGAATAACAGGTGCCTGCACAGGCACAATGTTCCTTGTGCACACCCACAGCCTGCTCACACCGTGTGACACCCCCACACCGCACCTATATCTGTGTGCTGCTGCTCCCCATGTATATCCCTCCAGCCCTACAYACCTCCTGTTCACACTCTCCACTCCCACTTGGGTCCCCTCTGCATTTTATGTCCCCCACTGAGGCTTTCCCCCCTCCTCAGGTGTCAGTCTGAGAGGTGAAATGATGGCTTTGGCTTTCCCTTGCCCACTGAGCTGCGGGTGTCACTGATCCTGGGCACACCAGGGCTGCACCATGTGGGTACATCCCTTCTTCAGCCCTGCACAGCTCCTGTGCAGGTGTCACCTCAGCAGCCCTGTGGCAGTTACACAGCTGAGCAGTTGTCAGCTCCAGATCACTCTGCAAGACTTGCACATTACCACTGCTATTTCCTCTCCTACAGGAACTGACAGGCTGATGCCAAAAAACACATCAAGAAACCACTGTTTTATGGTCCATAACACCTTTACAGCAGGTCYCCCAGCAAGGGCTGACAAAGTACAGCAGTAAAGGTGACAGGCCATCCCCCTGAGGACTTCTCCATGTGTGTGGCCAAGGCTGGATGGTGAACCCCAATGAAAAGCCACACATCTGATGGTCAGYACAAGCAGACCTGGGGCACTGCTGGCTGCTCAGGGAGGGCAGGATGGCTATATTTGCTCCTTGGCTCCAGTGCATGCTGCCCAAAACAGGTGACAGTCCAGGACTTCTCTACACAATCAGACAGATCACGATGGCCAAAAAATATCTGTYCCTAAACACCTGGCAGGAGGAAGTGGCTAATGGTGCAAACAGTTGTACCTCTTACCAGGGTATGCTTCTCATAAAGTCCTGAAACACCTACATAAGACCAGCCAAAACACTCACATCTCCCAGAATACATATATTTTTCACGAAGAACAGGGCTCTTGTTGAAGCTTGCTTTGTGTGCTAGGAAGAAAACCCCTASAATACCAAATCTCTGAAAGTCCTCAGGAGGGCACAGGGCTCTCCTTTCATGTTTTCAGTGTGCACGAGGACRGCTGAGCAAGAAAAACACTCCGGGGGTGAAAATCGGTCAGCCAAAAAAGGTCAGTGCACCGGGGAGCACCATCACGGTATTTCCTGCTTCCCGAGCCATCCAGGAAAGCGCGTGCCGGCACAGGCGCCGGGCACACCGCGGGACACGAGGGCTGCCTCTCCCCAGGCTGCTGCTGCAACCGTTCTGCCGAGCTGAAAAAAATCCAGCAGGACACAGAAAAATTATCCAGAACAAATATTTACAAATCACATCACGGCGCRTTYGGTAGTTGCACGCGAAGAAGCGGAYGGTCACGTGGCRTTGACTGCTTTTTCCAGATGCTAAATCCTGTTTTAAATGACAGCAACGAAAATGTGTCGGAACTTCCCTGCTGTTCCTCTTCCAGGTTAAGCAACAGCTGCCGTCAGGACTGGGGTGCTGTGCAGTGGGAGGGAGGTGAGCCAGAGCCGGCAGACACAGCCTGGAAGGAGTGAGCCCTTATAATGCCCCTTCTCCCACCACCAAACCCCATTCCCATGGGTGCCACTGACTGCCACCGTGCAAACCCAGACCTTGAAAGGCTTTTGCTGCATCCTGGCAGGGCAGTGTTTGTGTCTGACATCTCTCACATGACATGAGGGTGCACATGGTCTGAGAAAAGCCCAGACCTGCAAAAGAAAGATGCTAGTGCTTTGAGAGCCCAGTCYGAGGTTGCCTGCCAGAAATTGGTCTATCCCAGTGCATGTGGATGAGRAAGACTCTTCAGGCCTGTTGCATGCAACCTGGAACACCCCAGCCCCGAGCCATTCGTGCTCCAAGGGGCCCTCATTTCCTTCTCCTGGCAACAGGAGAGTGCTTGGCTTAGTGCACTTCCTGCTGATGTGGGGCTGGCCCCCTGCTTCCCCCACCAGCATATGAACCTTTCCCACCACCCCAATCCCCTCCCTCCCGTGCTGAGACAAGTTCCTCCAGGAGCTCCAGAAGGTGATGCTCAGGATGTGCCTTTTTCATGCAGCCAGGCCTTCAAGMAAGTTCACAGCTGAACCTGTGCAGAAAACACACAGCCTTCATGTTTGTCTCCCTCAGCTCTCCCACAGTGCTCGCCCCTTTCACCACCAGCCAGACGCTCTCCATGACTTTTAGTGCTGTTTCTGCACTCGAGAGCCCTGAATTTGCCCTCTCCTGAGCTATCCAGCTTTCYCCTGCCTGGAATGATCCAATKCCTGCTCTGGAGCAGCCTGGCCCCYTTCACCACTGCTYCYTGYTCCACCAGMAGCCATCCCTCTACCCCTCACCCTCGGGTCAGGAGAGCACAAGGATGCATGCTCAGCATTCCCACTTCTGCCTCCAACATCCTATATCYTACAGACCCTGGCCATGGGCCCATTTCATAAAATTCCTTCACCTTTCTGCCTCAAAGCAACTGCTTAGCTCTCCTTTTTCCTTCATCTCTCCACCTTCCAACTCCCCAGTGCCAAGCCCAGGTGCTTGAAATCCCACACATCCCTGTCCCAGTGTTCCCAGGAGCACCCAGAGCTTCAGGCTACCACAGCCTCAGTCTTTCCCCCTGGTAGCCCAACACCACTGTGTCCATCCAGAACAGAAACACGCACCACACTGGTCCTTTCTTCCTGTGYAGAGGTGAGCACTGAGTGCTGGAGAGGGCTGTCACATCCAGGAGAGCCACAGGAGGGTAACAGGTCCTTCTGGGACAGGAGGCAGCCGAGGTAGCAGAGAGAGAACAGGAGGGCTCGATGCTGGGAAGGACGTGCCAATCCACCAGCTCTGCCCWGGAAGTGCAGCTGGATAAATAACACAAGAGAATCCCCACAACAGAAAGCCATGCTCCTGTTTCCTGCTGGAGACAACCGCCCCAGTCATGCCACAGCAGCCCCTGCTGAGAGACAACTCAGGCGATGGGTGTGTGCTTTCATGTCCAGTTTTATTAGTGTTGCATTAGTACCATAAAATAGTTGACGAGGTCGAGCACGTTGCGGTTTGTTCCAAAAAAAAGGCTATTTACATTTAATCTGTCTTCATAAAAAACAACCCTAGAACCCAAACAATACAACAATGAAACAGATGGACAACTCGGGAATCTACAAAGTGGTAACGTCCCCTCGCACGCCGCGGTCCGGACAAGCCTGGTGGCACGCAGCCCCGGAATCCAGGCGCTTCCCCACGGCTGGGGCACGTCCGCAGCCGGGCACTGTCCAGCCAAGACTCCAAGCAGCAGCTGACTGGATGTGGCCCCAGAACAGTGCTCTTCCTTAAGGAAACCAGCGACCTGCTGCTTCGCAAGTTGGCACATCCCCTTCTGCCCCAGTCTGTCCCAAAGCACCAGAGTGATCCTTCCTGCAGGAGCCGGCCCTGCCAGGAACATCTCCCTTGAGAACACCACTGAAGAGGCTCCAGGAAACCTCCAGAAGGTGCTGCTGCCCATTTCTGGCCTTCTCCTGCCAGGTTAAGCCCAGAGGGAGTGTCACATCAAAATGCCACTACTGAACTACCTGCTGAGATCAAGGCCCCCCTCGAATGAAGGGTACAGAGACACTGCATCCAACAAATTTCAAGCAAGCTCCAGGGCCCCCAGCCCTTTACAGCTGCATGGCAGGACTGTCCTATTCCTAATTTCCCAACCCCTCAGCACACCAGACAGCAGGAAAAGACCACTGGTTCTGCTGCCTCTTGCCATGGTTTTCTTCTTAACCTTGGAGGTACCAGGTGCAATGCCCTCTGCCCTGGCTCTCCAGTGCTCCTGCCAGMACACGCTGCTGCTGAGAAACACAACAGGGCCTTTGTTGCAGTCACAGGTTAAGCACAGGGCAGTGTGGTTMCTGGCTGAGTTTGATGATGGAAAGCAAACAGGCACATCTCAGCCCCAGAAACCTCCCAGCCACCTACCACTGCCCTCCCTGCAGGATAAAGCCACAAGCTTGATCTTGTGTTCTAATTAAAGCAGCAAAACACAGCCAAAGAGACCACAGCTCTCCCCAAACTCATGTGTAATTAAGGAGGGCTCTGCAGTTACTGCTGTGATGTAAACTGTGACAACTGAAGTGGATGGGAACTGCAGCACTGAGCTAAAACAGCCCCACGAGACGTCCCCGACGTCACCAGTGCCACAGGAGAGCCAGCCCTGATTGAGCAGTGRCAGGGCTGAAGCCCAGCCTTCATCTCCAGGAAACTCATGTCAGAGGACCAGGAAGCACTCAAGGTGCAACACGATGCCACAAACCCCTTCCATCTTTCATCTGCTCTCCAGAGCTGCTTATCTAGGTCAGCGTGGTGCAGCTCAGTGTGCAGCCAGCCCGCTCCCCGGAGTGCACCGCTGAGCCGGGCTGGGGCCTTGCCCAACAGCGGCTCAGAACAAACCGGCTGCTCTGGGATGCCACAGCCAGAGGGGCAGGAGAGACCAGCCCYGTGGAGACACAGAGAAGGGGACACAGCAGGGGACACCACCTTCAAAGTACCTCCTGGCCAGGGACCTGCTCAGATGCTGCCCATCCCAGCCTTGCCTTTGCTGTCAGACCACACAGCTCCAAAGCAAGCCCGATCTGGGAGATAACCCCACTGTATTTCTTCATCTGACATGTACCTTCCCTGCTCAAACTCTCCAGAGCCCAACACAGAGCGGGGCTGTCTCTGCTCTAAGCCATCCTTCTGTACTCACTGATGTTTCCACAACCACCCAACCCCACAGACTGGCACAGCTCTACAGGCATGGGCCCACTGCTGCCTTTTCCTGGTCCCACAAGGACCATCCCTCAGGTCAGTGGAGCTCACTCCCAGCAAGCTCCCCCCAGAAACTGTTGGGGAAGTTGGGAACCCTGAGATCAGCCACTCATTCAGGTCACCAGGTCTAAAGCCTCTTCCCAAAGCAGTCTGAGCCATGTGCTTTGACACTCATTTTCCTTTAGAGACAGAAACCTGTTTCTCCTCCAGACAGGGAAAGAAACAGCTGCACAAAGTGGCTCCACAGGAGAAACAACAAAGGCACGACAASCTGATCAGAGCTGTGCCACCAAATTTGCATGCCAGCCCTTGCTTCCGGGGCCAGGAAACACCACAGCCACCCCTTGGGCACACAGGTCCCCAGAGGCAGGCCCAGCCTGCCACTGCAGGAATCCCTCTGGGATAACAAGGTTGAGAAGCTGGGATGTTTTCTTGCACAGAAGACACATTTCAGAGCAACAACAGCTTTCCACAGGGGAGAAATCAAGCCCTCAGGTGTACAGAGAGTTTCCTGATGAATTTGCTTGTATAAAGTTAGAACAAAACACAAACCAACATGAAATGCAACGAGCAGAAGTGTTTCTCTCACACGTACACACACACACACACACAGAGTACAGCAGGGCAACACACATTTGATAGGCAGGACTCTGGAAACCCTGTCCTAGCTACCACATWTTTTCTTTACAGTAGGTTGAAATACAAAGAGGAGCACAGTGATGGTTCTCCCCTCACCCCCCRGTAAACAAAGTTATTGCAGTTGGTCAGTCCAGCCCACCTCTGCAGCAGCATCAGCGAGAGCTGCCCAGGCTGCACACGGCTCTCACCGCTGGAACCCAGCCCCATCACCCTTGTCACACCAGCGGGAGACTCGAGGAAGAAATCACACACGGACTAATTCCCTTCACAAACCTTTCTTTTTGATGCAACAGCCTCAATAAAGATGTGATGTGCTTCTATACCATCTCCCACGCTGCTGCTGCTAGGCAACGCTACAGTCCCAGAGCATCAGCTCAGGTCACCCGAAAATGCATCAACTGAGGGGCACGACAACATCCCAACCATAGCCCAGCTTCTGCCACAGCCAGGGGCCAGCTCACAGCAGGCAGGCAGCGTGTCCTGCCCAGCAGAATGTCACCAAGCCTGGGAAAGTGTCCTCCTCCCCTGCGTGGTTTGAAGGGAATACCCAGTCCCTAGGTTGCCCCTGTGCTGGGAAAGGGTTTCATGGCATCCGTCAGTGAAGCAGCCTGAGCTGCAACAGGCACTAGATCCAGCTCTCACCTCAGAACCTCTCTGCTAGCAGAGCACACCACTACTACCTGCCCAACAGAACCCAGCTGGTCCCCACGCAGAGCAGGACCTGCCATGCAGCACACTGCAGGTTCCCCAAGCCTTTAAAAACCCAAGGGTAAGGGATCAGGTTTAAAAAAAAAAAAAAAAAGTTCAAAAGCATCACTGCCCTCAGAAAATGCCTTCTGGAAATGCTCACAGAGCCTGGCCTGCCTGCAAGGGGAGGGACCCAAAAGAGCCCATCAGAAATTTCAGTCCCTTACCCTGAAATGCCAGAGATGTCTGTTCTTCCACATGGCAACAACACTCTGCTCGCCCTGTCCCACCCACCCCCTGACAGAGCAGCCCATGCCACCTCAGGTGTGCAGTTTGACAGATGGGAAGGAAGGCAGCTGGACACGCAGARTGCCTGGCTGGCTCCCAGTCCAGCCACTACAGTGATGCATCACTCCACAGACAACGGCTCATCTACCTGGGTTTGGTTTTTTTTTTTGGCAAATTAATCTTTTTCCTGTTATTTTTTGTTTTTATTTTTATTTCTTTTTTTTTTTAGAAAGCATTAAAAAAAATCTGCAGCTGTTAAAAAAAATCCTTTCCCTTTCAAGGCTGGACGAGGTTTTATTGACAGGTAAATAATTGGTGTGAGTATGTAAATAGCAGCGACCCCACTGACGTGGTGCCCCTCAGCAGCACAGCCAGCTGGGGGACACGGTGACTGGCTCGATTTGGTCATTGTCACAGACCTGGGACATGGGAGATTCCTTACACTTAGTGCTTCCCTAATTCCTGTTCCTGCCCAACCCTCCTCAGGCATCGCTTCAGCACAAACACCTGCCTGTCCCTGTGGCAGGGTCCATGGTCTGAAGGGGATCTCCTCTCCAGATCCCCCTAACTCTGCAAGTGGCTTTGTTTTCCAAACTGGACAGTTGAACTCCCTCCAGACTCGCTGATCTCTCATCCTTTGGCAGCAGGAAGAAAGACTGGCCATCCTTTTTTCCTAGAAACACAGAGGGAGGGGGGCCAAACGCACCGTAACGCACAYGATCTTCTGCAAAATCCATTTGAGCTGATCCACGGCTCCCCCAGCCCACTCACACCAATGAGGTCTCAGGTTAATAAGCAGTGCAGTTACTCAGCTATCTGCTCGTAAGTGGTAGGTGTTCTTGGGCAGGTTGCCTGCTCCTGCCAACTCCCCCACAACTTCACGTTGTCAGCACATCTATATTTAAGACTGGTTTGTTGGTTTGTTTTGTTTTTTTGCCTTTGTTTAAAGGGGTTTCCTTCCCTTGTAGTAAACTTAGGAGTTAATAGAAAAAGTAATTCAAAAGTAATCCAAGCACATCTGTAATTAATTCTGCAGGAGAGGGCAGAGCGACGCGAGTCGGAGTTGGCACGCAGTTCCTGGCTCCTGGTGTGCAGTCCCCGGGACGGACAGAAGGTCCCTGCGCCGAGCACAGCTAGAAGTTAGATTTGGAGTGTCCAAAGATGCAGATGGGAAAGTGCTTGACATGAGAGGACCACTGTGCTGCCAGCTGAAAGAACTTGACGTCGTTCCACTCCACCCCATCGATCAGGACTGCAGGGGAGGGTGAGAAGAGAGGGGTTAGAGAACACCAAGGGGAAGTGGCCAACTCGAGGCAGCTTTGCCAGAAATCTCCCTGCAGTCGGCAGAGGGAGGCCTGGCCACACTCAGCTGCTCGGCCCAGCCACCCCACCCAGCCACATACACCGGGGGAGGAAGGCTCAGGAGCCCACAAGCTTTATGGAGAACAGCTCAGATTGTTGCTCCAGCATCACTCACTGACACCAGAGCTCCCCAGACTGCTGATTTCAGTGTCATTTGATCCGACTTCTCAGATTTCCTAAGCACACTTCATTTTCTGTTTTAGGCAAATGCACTCGGTAAGAGATGGACATCATCTGGCACTCTAACCAGGAGATTCATCTCCTCAAGAGGTGACACATATCCTGTGAGCACCCTCATGCTCACCAGTCTCACAGGGACCAGGCCAGGATTAAGGAGATGACTCAAACAGAACCCTCTGCTGGGGATTATCACCTGCATAGGCTACAAGGATATTTTTGATACTGGATACCCAGCTCTGCTGACACTTCAGGTCTGTCTACAAAATAAATATATGGTTCCTGCTGTGCCATGAGCATGTGCCAGCATCTTGCCCAGAGGAGCAGCCACACTRTCACCAGCCACCACCAACCAACACCTGYAACAGCTGGGCAGGARAATCAGAGGATGACAGGGACAGGARTGGAGTCCTGTCCAACCCTTGTCCTCATCCAGAGCACTGAATCARAGCTACCTAAAGGAGGATTCTCCCACATCCCAGACCTATTAAAGCATTCCCCCATGCTGGACACACAGAAGCCCATCCTCCAGGAGCATCCCCATCACACTGGCTCCAGGGCACAGAGCAGGGCACCAGGTCAGCCCAAGTATGTGAGCCTTGCCTCAGCACCCAAAGAGATGCAAGCACTGCACTTACCACGCAGCATGTTCTGCTGATGTTTCGCTGTGCAAATCAGCCTGCTGATTCCTTCAATACACTGGCTCTTTGACTCAACCTCCTTGTCCTTTGTTTTCTTGGGCAAAAACATCACTGGAAGAAAAATCAAACCAGCACATGGTGAATCTATGCCACTCACAGGAGCTGCATTGACATTTGTTCWGAGTTTTTGCAATTAAACATTCATGTCTGAAAATTCTTACTCCTAATACCCTCCCTTTTTGGCAGGAGTCTGTCAGTGCTGAGGAGCATCACTGCAGCATATGAACATCTTATCCCTGTCTCTTCATGAAGCATTGCCAGCTCCAAACCTTGACCCCCAAGGGCACCTTCAGGGTAACTCCTGCTCTGTTGGGACACCACGCAGGGAAAACATCTGCAGTGCCTGGTCTGCTGCACTGACTGTGGCCCAGCACAGGCTGGGCTGCACAGACATCTGGACAGCAGGAGKGACTACAGACTGGGGCAGCTGGTGGAGAGGGAAGGCATAAGGAGAGCTGAGAAAAAGTCCAGTTCCCCAGGAATCTTCCAAATGCAGGAGCAAAGATGTACAAACTGTTTCAACAGAAGCTGGTGGTGTTGAACTMGTCTGCTGCAGGCTGGGCCAACCCCAGGGAAGGACGTTTGGAGTGTCTCAGGATTGCTTTTCCCAACAGCACAACACTTACAAAGGGTGTCACCGGGGTGGCAGCTCCAGTACCAGCAGTGCCACAGCTGTGCTGGCCTGGGAGTGACCCAGCCACAGGGTTATGCACCCATGTCCTGCAGTACAGGAGGCTCTGTCATTCTTCTCTCAGAGCCCCCAAAACCCCAGGCCCACAGGTAGAGGATATTGTGCAGGACAACTACGGGCAGCCAAAGTCCAGAACTGCCTTGCTGCTCCCTTGAAAATWCTTTGCTGGAGAACTGTTCACCACTGTTTCATCACTGTTTCACATTACCAATGCCAGGAGCAAATACAGAATTACWGACATTTAAAATGCCATTTTGTTTGTTTGTTTTAAAATAATAAACTCAAAGGTACAACTTTGAGAGTAGAAGAGTATTTCTCTTCTACTTCCCTTTGATCCACAAAACATTCCATACAAAAGCCTAAGAGTTATACAATCATAGAGAGTTATAAAAGAGTTATAAAATGATCATTAGTCTAACTGCTAATCTAACGCTGCCAACTGCATCACCAAACCATGTCCCCAAGTGCCACATCTACATGTCTTTTAAATACCTCCAGGGATGTAGGGATGGTGACTTCACCACTGGGCAGCCTGTTTCAGTGCTTCACGACCCTTTCAGTGAAGAAAATCTTCCTAATATCCAATCTATATTTCCCCTGTCACAACTTGAGACTACATCCTCACGTCTTATCCCTCATTACCCAGATTGACTCTCACCTTGCTAAAACCTCCTTTCAGGAGGYTGTAGAGAGTGAWAAAGTTTGCCTGAGTCTCCTTTTCTCTGGGCTAAACACCCCCAGTTCCCTCAGCTGCTCCTCCCAGGACTTTGCTCCAGGTTCTGGATCACCCCACTCACTCGAGTGTGAGTGTGGGGACAGGAGGAGAGTGGGAGGTCCTAGACTCCAGTTCAGGGGGTACCCCTGTTTTRTCACAGGAACCTGTGATACTTGCTGGGCTTTTTTCTTTTTTTCCTGTTGCATGCCTTTTTTTTATTCTCTGTGGCTCTTTTGAGCTGAAGGCTCATAGGATGGGGGTATCATCCTAGATAAGTACACTGCTAGAAAGGAGAGGCCCATTTACCCCCACTGGTGGTTAGGGCACAAGATGCCTCTTACCTAATCCAACATCCCAAAACAGCACCAGCAGATTSCCAAGGAACACAGGGAAGTTGTCCAGAGCAGTGTACCCTCCTGACCCTCTGCATGTCTTTGCTTTGTACCCTCCTTTGTTGTTTTGGGCTGTACCACCTTGGCTGTTCAGCCATCAAGGAGAACACATCCCCTTTTTACCTCACAAAGAACCATCCATTCAAACCCTATTACTTCATGCAGTCACTTGTCATCTACCGAGTGGGACTTCTGGGATAAAAATAGGACTGAGGTGCTGTAATCCAGCACTGACAAGTCAGGCAGCACTGGAGCAGCAGGACAGGGACAGCAGGACAGRGACAGCAGGACACCTCACCTTTCTTGTTCTTTTCTTTTGTCACCACAGTCATGGACATGGTTGGCATGGTGGCAACCTCGCCGCTGGCCGGTAGCCTGCTGACCTGGAGGGACCGGAAAGTGCATTTCAGTGTGTTTTTGGTAGTGGAGGGGTCCTTCTTCTCYGGGTCTCTCTTTCTGTCCACGGCTGGAGCTGCAATCCAGTAATCCACCTGCAGGCCCATCAACTCAGCACCGAGGCCCTGGCTGGAAAACAAGAGAAGGAGGTGATTTCTATGCACCTCTCAGCAGAGTTCTGGCAGAGCAGCTGCCACTTCTGGTCACAGATAAACACCTGGCTCTGTGGGAAGYCAGGCAGAGACATTTCATAGTGAGACTCAGCCATTACAGAAGCCCACAAAGTCAGTGACTCTGTCCAGGCACAGCACTGCCACTCTCTCAGCTGGGGTGAGCAAAGACCTGGCAGGTCCCTGCACATCAGGCACTCAATTCTCTGTCACCCTGACTTGCTCCTATCTCCTGTGTTCATGAGTTCTTCCCACCACCAGCTGCTTCCCTTCCAGCTCAGATGCTCCACCGGGTCAAACAGGTGAATTCTGCTCACCCCAGCTCCCTGTAGCAGAGCTGGTACAGGGCAATTACCTCCCCCCAGCCTTGCCACTTGCTGGGGAATTCAGCTGCTGGAAAAATGTCCTGCCAGCCCTGTGATGTTTGCTAAACAACAGCAGATTTCAGGATATGATCTGTTGTTGAAAACTCCTGTGCATCATGTGGTAGCAGCCRTGCATCACCAGAACATGCTGCCAGCCTTTCTTGAGCCAGAAAAGGGAAGATGAGCAGCCTGGGAAATTCCAGCCCTTTCCTGCCCCTACCTCTCACTGTGAACCCTGAAGGGAGCAGGGGTTCATCATTCAGCAGACCTACAAGTGACAGCCTATCCTTRTTCCTGCACTGTGACAATCTGTGTTGAATAATACACAAAGTACTAGACAAAAACCTAAATTTATCTACCAGTCTGTGTCCCCAGTTTGAGAAATGGAAGTTGTTAAGGAAGATAAATCTGTGATCCTGAATGAAATATGCACCCCTCTGCACCACCTGTTTAATAAGAAACTCTCAAGGTAAAACAAGGACATCCCATCATCACATCCTCTCAGCAAATCATTTCCCTTTCTTTGCCATTTATTCAGCTGAAAGTCAGACTGCAAAGCAGAGTTCACCTCTGATCACCAAAACCAGGTTTTTGGTTCTCAGGGCAATATTCAGAAGTGAGATTCTTTAAGAATGAGGCTTTGGAGATGTTGCTTTGAGTTTTAAGGCTCCTTTGCATGACATCTCTCACCTCAGTCATAAAGACAAAGCATCCCYATGTTTACTAGGCCCAGGCAAAACTTTGTGTTCCATTCCCAGTTAAACTCATGGCTTAATCATTCRGTCTGGGTCACCCTCCACCCCCTATGCTGTCACTTACAGATCAGGGGAGATGGAACAATGTTGAACCTACACTTCCTCATGTCTTGATGACTTTACCACACAGTATGGAACCAAAACGTGCCAGATTCTTAGAGCTGGGGTGTCAMCTTCAAATTTACCACATCCATGGCTCACAACTTTAACACTCTATGCTCCTGGAGGCACCAGGTCCCAAACCACTTCCAACTTTGGAAAGCCCATACACAAAGCTCACACTCAAGAATTCAGCTCTGCTCCCCAGAGCCTGCACAGCCCCCAGCTCTCTCCACTGCCAGCTGCTGGTGCTATAACAGCCTGGGGCACACAGGGCTCTCCTGCCATCAAACCACAGGGACACAACAGGAGGGGGCAGGGGAACTGACCCCTGGCACAGGTGAACCATCATGAACATCTTCCACTGCTGGGCACCTAAACTGGCACTTCCACATCTCCATTTCCTCTTATTAAAAGGGAACTCTTAAGCCAATTTAAGAAGTCAGAGGTTTAAGGTGCCTGCAGGGTACTCTGGGGTGGRCACAAAATGTCCCCATTCTGTCTCCAACAGGGACAGTAGGGGAGGCTACGTAGGGAGAGCATGTGAGCCCAGCCTCAGAGCATGCCCTTGGGCTTCCCCAGCCTGACAATCACAGGATTAGGGATGCTAGGGGGGACATCCCTGAAACATCCTTTAGTATCCTTTAATGAATCTGCTGTCTGTGAATTTGTCTGACCCCTCTTTGCTCTGTTGATGCTGCTGCCACAGAAGCAGCAGAGGCAGATATGGTCCCTTCCTTTCTCCCTCTTAACTGACCTTGGCAGTGTCACTGTGTGCCCCAGGGCTTGTGCCACAGGCTTCAGAGAATCCTAGAATTGTTAGGGTTGAAAGGGACCTCTAGAGATGATCCAGTCCAACCCCCCTGCCAAGGCAGGATCACCTGGGGCAGGTGACACAGGGACACCTGCAGGTGGGTTTGGAATGCCTCCGGAAAGGGAGACTCCACGACCTCCCAGGGCACCTGCTCCACTGCTGTCACCCTCAACAAATCCAAAACCCCCTGACTCTGCAGAACTTAATGGCTTATCTCTTTCCTCTCCTCTCCTAAACTGCAGAGTYCAAATGATTCTAGTTTCCCCTTCTCACAAGACTGTTGCTATGTTCCCTTAAAGGCTCAGGGGAGTTAACAAAAACAAGGGGAACTTCACCAAGTGAGTTCTGAACACCAGAAGCGAACACAGAGTGTTAGAYAGCTACATCAACGTTTTGTGCAGCAATAAAATGAAGAGTCCCAGCCTGGGCATGTTTTACAGAGCAAGCTTTGTAAGCATTTCCTCCATTCAACCTCAAAATTTCAGCTAAACCAGGGCTTAATATTATCTATAGGTGCAGCTTCCCTGATGTTCAGATGTGCTTTTAAGTACACACATAAATGGGAACTGCAGTTCCACTGTACCACCTTAAACTGTCAGCTTCACCCTCACAGAGAAAGTCATCAGTTCCTTCAAGAGCCATCTGATCTTACACTCACTTGGCCATTACAAACATAAGAATCATGAGGGATTAGCCTGGCACCCACATGTTTCAGAGTCAGTAATTTTTTGGAGTACATATCTTCCCAAGAGGATCCTGCCCTTGAGACATGCAGCCTTGCTACTAAGACTAAAATCCCCCCTGCCCTCCCCAGCTCCTTGTCGGTCCTAGCAAGGACAAGGTCACTCCAGAGGCAAAAGAGGTGAAGGGGAAAGGTGACGACCCCAAATGTTTGCTGAGGATGAAGAAAGAACTATGGAATTTCCTCTGGGGGAGCTCTCTGCTGTGTGTATGTCAGATAAGGCAGCCAAGGGAGCTGTAAGGAGACAAAACATGGTTTACCTTGGGGATGAGAAGCTGCCTGTAACAGACGGTGAGGAAGGGGGCGTGGGGGAGGCTTCTTTCACAGCAGGAGACACAGAAGGCGGGGTGGAAGAAAGGACAACGGAGCTTGAGGGAGCTGCATCATCAGAGTCACCTTAAAAAAAAGGAAATCAGAGTTTTTGTGGGTTTGTCTCACAGCACAGGACACTGGTGTAAAGCTCAATCTCCTTGTCCATGCTCCTCCTGCACAGGTTTTGYTCAGATTCCATCCAGAGGTCAGCTGGCCCATCAGCTCTCACTCCCTCCACACTTCTGAGGGACTTTATACACCTGGGTACGAAGCAGGCCCAGACATTCACACTCCTCATTTGGCATCTGCTCTCCTAGGGTTTGCTCCCAGCTGATTTTGAGCCTCCTGCACAGTCACAGCCCAGCCCACTGMTCTCTGATGGGGAATCTCTCCCTGCAGGGCAGCACCACTCTGGGAATCCAGCACCTCTGGGCTGATCACAGGGATCTCCCCATSCATCTGCCTCCACCCTCCATAACCAAGGTTTTACCCCCTTCATGTTGGCCCTTTAGGATGGTGGGAGCACTATGGCAACAAGGAATGACCCACAGCAGGGCTGCCTCCATGCACAAACCTATCTGCAACCCAGGCCACAAGAATCTGCATTTGACAATGAAGCAACAAAAAAAAATCCCAACAYTAGGAAAGCAATAGTCCTGTGCATATGAAGGAGGAGAAAAAAAGTTCACATTGACAAAATAACACTACCCTATGTCTGTGTATGTGAGCAGACAGTATCCTGTATATCAGYTTTGCACTCCCCCATTAAAAAGCAAATGGGTCTAAAAATTTGCCCACCCTGAAGTTCCCAGGCACTGAGATCAATTTCATTCAGCAATTGAGCCCAGTGTAGGGAACAAGGCATGAAATTATGATGAACTGCTCCCCCCCCAGTTTGAAGCAGGAGCCTTTAAAAACTGTAACAGTGAATCTGCTCCACTGACAGCATTAGAAAAATTATGTTTGCACAAATGTGAGAGTACAGCTTCCCTCGATGAAGGTGTGGGGATTTCACCGGGCCTGAAGCTCCTTGTAAAGTAACAAGAAAAAGGGCCTGTCCCAAGAGAGAGCTCTCTTTCTGCAGACAAACACTGGGAGCTAATCAAATCCCATTCCACCTCAGAGAACTCCAAGGCATCAGCAATGGACAAGTGTGCTCAGCCTGTGAAGTCAGGCTCCCAGCTGCTGTAGGACACAGAAAACACACTCAGGATGCTCYTTACCTGACGTTGCAGAAGATTGTTCCACTATTCCAACCTTCACCACCTAAAGGGGGCAAAACAGAAGAGCTCTRTGAAATAAGAGCCCCCCCTGAATTTAAGGAATCCAAAGCCCAGAATTAAAGTCACCTCTGCAGTCCCCAAGGCACTGTCCCTCCAGTCACAGTAGTTAAGGAATCTTTAAGAGCCAGGCAGGTCCTGGCAATGTCCAGCCAAGCAGTGCCAGCTCCCAGCCCTTCCCTGACCTACACAAAGGACAGCACAGACCCTAGGGAGCTGTGACAGCTCTGAGCAGCCCATCGGCCCCAAGCTGTGGCAATTACAGGGAGGAGAAAGGGTCACAAAATATCATTTCAGCACTGCTTTGATACCTCTGCTAATTGCTTCCTTTGCTCAAGTGCAGCCACTTCCAGGGTGCAGCATAGCTGGGGTTTGTTAGGAAACCACAGAAGAAACAAAGTACAGTTTCTGATCAGACATTTCATTCTCTAAACAAGAGAAGAGTCCAACGAAGAAGACAGAGCTCCTAGCAAAGCCTCTGGAGGCAGATATGGGCAAAGCACCCCATGGACAGGTCAGAACGATCTGAATCATGCTGTAATAAGGGTACAAATGTGTGTGGCCAGCCACCAGCTAGTACATTAAGATTAATGATAAATGTCACTAGCAATAATTTGTGGAACAGAACATGCTGCAAACAAACTCCCAAGAACACGCTATGCCGAGAAAGATAAACTGGCCCTTGGTGATATAAAAGCAGAGACCTTCTGTAGTGATAATCTGCTGTGGTACACAGGGATCATTACTCTTAACACTGCAGAGATGAGACCCTTTTTAAGGTCCTTAAGAAACTTGTATCAAGGGCTAATATCTACCCTACACAAATGTTGACAAATGGGAAAGAGCTGCAAAGGGAGATCAGGTCAATAAAACCTGCTTTGGAATGAGAAATGATGCCACATAGACTGTGGAGTTTGAAAATAGAAGGTCATTTAGTTCAGACACAACCATGTAATCTCTAGGGATTACATTTCTGTAATATAAGATCCAAGAAAAAAAAAAAAAAAGGAAAAGTTAATTATTAGAAGCAAAAAGCTTGGCAGAGTTCAGAGGGCAGGGAGAGGTATGCTCAACAGCAGATCTTGGAGAGTTGTCAGGCTCTCTGGTGGATTCTCATTTAGATCCAGTCTTGGAAAAGCCATCATGAATTCAGAAGTGTGTGCACAGGCCCCCTGGGAGGTCACTGGCTTGGGAGAAGGAGGCTGCAGCTGAGTTTGGCCAGTCTCCATCCAAAGGTCAACAAATGAGGCTCTGGAGTGCAGCAGCCATTTGTGCTGTAGGTGTTAAATGCCAAGAGGACCTTTCACAGACTGTCACTGGCTGYGAACAAGAGGAGCAGAGTTAGGGAAGGGACAAGCTACCCAGAAAACTGCCTGCAGCCACCCTGATCTGCAAGCCAGACAGGAAATCTCTTCTGGCCTTTTCCTCCTTGTTGGCCGACTGAACATACTCAAGTTCAGACACATGGGAGGAACACAAAGTTAAACACTTTCCCTTCCCTCCACTCAGGGAGGCGCCTGAGACCACTGCAGTTCCAACACTCCTCCATCCAGGGAAGCTGCAGCAGCCYTTCCCTCCAGGAAGAGGCACATCCTGTTAACTCTCCTGGCAACTGACCCAGGCTTTTGTGCCCATTTGGCCCCCTTATGAGGCTCCACTCCCACCACTTTGAGCCAAGTGAGCAGCACGGCACTGCCCTGCTCGTTTTTGGGTCAAAGATTGCACAATTCAGCTGCAGGACATCAGGTTTTGCACCCCAAAACCCACAAGTGCAGCCAACATCAGGAGCTGCAAACCCAGAAGTCGCTGGCTCCCTCTTTTCCTTGTCCAACAGCTCCAAGCGGGCTGCAGCTGAGGGAAAGAGCTTCAGTGCTCACGTCCAGCCTCAGACTTTGTGAGACACCTGCAGCTGGCCTTTCAGTCTCTTCAGATGTGTTTCATGGGGAATTACTGGGTCAGGAATGCTTCAGAATCAAGAGCAAGCAGCATTGATGTGACTCTCATGACCAGCTGACATAGGGGGTCAGCCTATGCTTTCAAAGCAAGTTTTTTGGGGGGTTGGCAATGTTATGTACACAACCAAGCCATTCACTCTTCCACCATTTTCAGACAACCAAAATCCAGACTGGAAAGCAGTGCTAATGTCAGGACAACAATCATTTTAGAGCAACTGGATAAACACTCTGAGCCCCATTTGCTAACTCATAACATGGGACCAAATCAGTCCTGAAGAAAAGCTTTGCAGAACTCAACAACAGTCTGGGATGTTCCAAGTTCTCTGTACTTTTCACGTCACTGGAAAAGGTGAAACAACTGTTTTGTAGAACAGTTCATCACTAGAAATTGCACTTCATGGGAGATACAAGTTCCTAGCAAAGCTCATCAGCAGGGAACAAATGGGGTAGATGTGTCTGTGCAATTTTGCAGAGGGTATCTCTCCTTCCACAAACAGAAGTAGATTTTCATCTCAGGAATACTGCAGAGAGAGACTCTCACTAACAGGAGACACCAGAGTGAAAGCAGGGTCAGCCTGAGGGCAAGGGAGACTAAGCTCTTTAAATGCCTTGGGATTTCAGATTAGCTCTGACGCACCCTGGGACACAAAGGGGACACACAATGTCAGCTTCACAGCAAGGCCAACGTGCAAGAGAAGCAATAAGACAGCAGCACAAACTGGGAAGAGGACATCCAAGAGCTGAAGAGAAGCCAAGGGATCTCTTCTGGCTGCAGGTCAATCATTTTACACCTAAAACTTAATGAATTGGAGAGCATGATGAAATAAGGGGAGGGAAGCTAGAAAAGGCAAAGAGCACAGTGCACAGAAGACACTGACACAAGGACAAACATGGCCCTGTCCAGATACTCTGCACTTGGCACCTCAGATGGAACACTTAAAGACAAGGACAGGAGGAAAAACCAGGGACTACTACCCCAAATACATGTTCACATTATAAAAATAAAAATWAATAGCTGTGCCCCAGACCCAGCCTTAACAGTGGTATAAAACATGTCCCTGCCAGGGTGTATCTCCACTTGCCAGGAACAGATGGGATACTGAGAGGATGGGAGACCATTAGTGACAAGCACACAGAGGACTGACACCGCAAACTTGGCCAAAATAATCAACCAGGGCAATGCTGGGCACAGTAACCCYGTGGATCAGGTTTCCAGGGACACATCACATTCCTGTCTGAGAAGTAAAATACACCCTGTAGTTTGTTGAGGTACCACAGAGGTTTGCTTACAGGCAGCTGCATCCAACCATAGATTCTCTTCAGATATCACCCAACAATGCACCTTAGAGCACCCAATGACTTCTGCTCTGCTCCAGAAACCCGGAAAGTTTGGGTTAACACCTTGAGACAGCAAAACCACGATAACACTCACCCCGACAAAGGGAATGAACTTCTGCGAAGATTCTTCGTCGGGGCTAAAGGCAAARAGAAGAGAGTTGTTAGCAGCTTGCTTCCCTCCCCGGGGCACCATACTCACTCCATACGTGGCATTCCAGCATGCAGCAGGGACGGACAGGATGCAAGCGCCAGTCCAACGCTCCTCTCAAGGCCCCCTGCCAGCACTAAGAGCCTGCCCGGCCGGGGAGGAGCACGCACTCTCTKGGGGGAAAGGCTCATCCTCCCTCCCTCGCGCTCCACAGAGAAACATGCTTGAACGGCATGGCAGTCACCACAGACACACGGCCTCCTRGTGCGAGGAAATGGATCTGTGCCACCACAACACGGACAACTGCGTGTTACTTACTAGTAGCCGAGGCGCTCTGCACGCACGGCCTCCAGCGTCCCCCCCGTGGAGCCATGTGCCACAGCTCGCACATGCCAGCACCGCCGAGGCGGTGGCCCTGCCGCGGGGTTACAAGCCGTGACACGTGGTTATTGGAAAAGCACCGCCAAGGACGCGCTCTCACGCTCACACACRCTCACGCACGCGCCTTCCCTGCGCTGGGAGCCCGTGGGCCGTTCCACGGGCACCGGGGCGCACAGCAGCAGCTAAACCAGGCTCTCGTGACCCAGAAACTGCTGGAGACAGCACTACACACGTTTGGGAAGGCACTCCTGCTCTGGGGCCTGTCCAGGGTTCAGAGGGCCAGCAATGAAGGGTAGAGTCAGACCTAGCGGGAACTAGCGGGAGGCTCGACAAAGACAAGAGGAGGAAGAGCTGAGTGAGRAGGAAGGAGGGCTAGAAGGGCCTGCAGAGCCACTGTTCCCTTCAACAGCAACAAAAATTAGAGATGGACCCACAGGGTGAGGAGAAGACCACAGGAGTACACCCACAGTTTGGCAGAGGGAAGTGACTACATGGGCAAGACGCACATTTCTCAGTGACTGAGCACAGGAAACAGGTAGGAAGCAGACAAACACTGAGACTTCTCATGTTTCTCTTCCTGTGCATCCCTCAGTGCTCAGAAAAATACTATCCAGCATTGCCTTCATCCAGAATTTAGTTGCGAGTAGCACAAATACTGCAGGGATTTCTTTGCTGTTTCTAGCACTGGTCAGAAATGCACCAAACGCACAAAGGTTGTGAACCCCTGTGTGATCCTTTAAGCCCCATGGAAAGAATGGCATAAAACTGCAGTAAACGTGACTCGGCCAGAGCTCCCTCGTGGTTCAAAGGAGAACATGATTTTGCAAACAGCCACCTGCTTTGGCTCAGTGCYGTGTATCCATCCTTAAGGCAAGGCCAGGGCCTTTGCTCCCCTCCTACCTCACACCTCCATTGTTCTCCCCCAGCACAGGACAAAGTGACCAAGTCCCTGATTCCATGCTGGAAGGCAGAAAGGTCACATCTTTGCAAACACAGCTGCAGGTGCCAGCAAACACATCTACAAACACAACATTTCCAGCTCCAGTTTTGTAAAAGGAAACGAGAAAACCACAGAAGAGCTGTTGGGAGAGGCACCGAGCAGAGGCTCAGCTCTCTTCTCATTCCTTTAACACCGTGGGCTTGGAAGCTGGCAGAAAGTGAGTCCCACCGACCAAATGAGGGAAACACAAACCCAGTCATCTCTCAGCTACTGGATTGCTTTGCTCCAAGCTTTGAAGAAACAAACTCCAGCAGAAAACTCCTTCTCGCTCCCCTGGGTGCTCTGACTCGCACTGCGGAGAGCTCAGGGACAGTTCCGAAATAAATCGTTTGCTTCAGTCACTGTTTTTCACAGCTCACAACGATGCATGTTCCTGAAGCTATCCAGCTGCATTTCAGCCTGTCACATGTCCTCCTGGGAACTCTGGTCTTGCACATGTGTCTCTGAAAATGCAGCTTAACAAAACAGCTGCTCTTCATGTGGATGAAGAAAAGATGAGATGATCGTGCTTGTTCTTCATTGCCTCCTTCATGCTCTTCACAATTTTTGTTCTTCAGGATCTCAAGATCCCAACATGTTATGTCAGAATCCTTTCACCCAACAGCTGCTTTGATTCCTCCTCCTACCACAGTCCTGCAAYGAAAATTTCTCCCATCTCTAGAAAGGCAGCTTCCCCTTGTTACCTTGGCTGCACAGATTCCCAGGCTGCAAAGGATTAATCCCACATGCCCACAAGGTTTCTGAATGCCCTGGTACTTTACTTCAGCTGTAACTCAAAGCCAGAGCTGGCCTAGCTTGTGATTTTTAGCAGTTATTGATGTGTCATGTCTCTAACCAGGAGGGTCTCAGGCACCACCTTTATTCCAGGCAAGTCCTGAGGGCAGGTAACAAAACAGAGGGGCCTTTGATCACCRAAGCAAGCCTCTGGGCCATTTCAGGCCAGGCACCACCATTACCACTGATATGAAATCTGTCCTGCTCACTGGGCAACCCCAGCTGTCTGCTGGCTAATGTTGTCCTGGTTCCACCAGGGTAAGACCAAACAAGGGACAAAGCAACTCCAGGTCCCCAAGATACATCAGGTGAATCTCCTCTCAGCTTCTCAAAAACCTTCTGTCCAGCACTCTTCACATTCCTACAACAGGCTGGACATAGCCAACAGGACATCCATAATTCCTTGAGCCTTGACTCTCCACTGCTGCACTCCTGTTGCATTTCTAGCAGATGCCCAAGGAGTTTCCTGCAGTAACCAGCCAGGTCAGACAGGCTCTGAAGGAACATCTTCATCAGCCGTGTTCATCTTCAGATACTGCTGCAGGGGGTGCTTGAGGAGAAGCACTCAGAGCAATGACYTGCTAAGCTCCTGCCCTGCAGGGCCTCTGAGACTCACAGCAGGCAGAGAGCAGTGTTATCCCTGYYTCCTACTGCCCAGGAGCCTTCCAAYCCATKGGAACTGRGAGCAAGGGCTGGGAAGGGCTCTCGAAAGCTTTTGGTAAACACATAACCAGGCAGGCAGTGATCCAGCCATTGCTCTGACAAAAGACCAATGCTTCCATTGCCCACAGCCAGGCTGCTCCCCAGATTCATGCAAGGGCTATCCAGAAGCCACATGGCATGAGCTGTGCTGGGCACTGAATTACAGTGGGTGACACCAGCCCAGAAATGACCAGCAATCCAGCTGCACTGAGAATCAGTATCTCCTCCATCTCAGACCTCAAACACCACAGGGTTTCTTTTGAGAAAACAATACAGAGAGGTATCAATGACACATCCCTCCTAGTGAGAGGCCCACCCCTGTCCCCAGGATCTCAGCTCCCCAGATGTTGCCTGGATTGCACTGTTCCTTCCCCATTCAGTAACCAGGACTTCTCCCAGAGCTCACAGATGGGGTCAGTCACCCAGTGTAACTCAGAGGAGCTGCAATGGCACTTGGTTTCCTTTTGAACCCCTCTCCTCATTGCCAGCCCCCCTGCCTTCAGGTAAGGTCAGCAGCTGCTCCAGAAGACCAGGACAAAGCTTTGGCACCATTGCAGTCCRTCACAGGCAGTACATGCGCCAACCTTTGCCATGACAAACAGAACAAGGGCACGGGGAGAGAGCAGGGGTAACTCAGAGTAGGGACAGCTGGCAAGAAAGTTATGAAGCAGCTCATATCACATACAGCTACATCCTAGAGACTGGCTTGGCTTTCCTTGGACCACTAGGGCTTGTTTAACAGAGCAAATGCTGGGATTCTGGGAGATTTCTCTTGCAATGAATTTAGGTAATGCTGCTTTTTTCTATTTGGACCACTGCCCTGAAAGCTGGCCTTGGAGAAACCATTCACCTCTGACCTCAAGGGAGAGGGAGTTGCAGTAACTTTGAGTGCTGAGTGCAAACTAATGCCCAATAATCATCTGATTCAAAGCAAGGGACCCTGCAGAGCAACGGGGTCTTGGAGGTAGCTCAGAGAGCACAACTCCACTGCTAACATACATCAGTCTTCTCTTTCTTAAGCTCAGAGAAGTCCCATACATTTGGGATAGCTTGCCACTAAGATACTCATCTTCACATTTTTGATTACAGGGAGATTTGCTGGACAGCATTCAGACACTGCACAGCTGAACCTCACCCTGAGCCCCTGAGTGTCACCAACAGATGGGAACTGAAAAGCCTTTTCTCAGTCCTGATCCTTCTGGAGCTACACTCTATCTTCTGAAGGCTAGGGAAAAGGCAAGAAAAATCCCTACCTTCTCCATGTCGTTCTGCTCTAAGCTACTGTCTCAACAGCTCCTTCAATCCCACTCAATCTACATCCTGGGAGCCCAAATGTGTGGTCCAAAGGCACAGCAGTCACTTTCAACTACGCATTCTGCCAGCAGATGCCATAGTTTCAAAGCAGCGAGCAGAATTCAACCTAAAGCACAAATTGTGCGTCCCAGACCCGCAGGAACTGTTAAACAAGGCACAAAAGACCAGTTCAGCAGGAAAAGAGATGGGAGGTGGGAGAGGGAACCTAAAACGAACTGATACCTTATGGTAAAATCAAAATGAAAGCTCTTTTTCCTTTTCAGGAAGCAACCAAAGAAAAAGATAAATGTGTTATTATACTTACAACAAACTGATGCATTCGTTTAGATAGAGCTAACGGAGACATAATTTCTGTTGTTTTTTTTACAATACCCTCCCTATGCTGCTGCCAGTGACAGAGACCCCCATTGCTAAAGGAAGGCACACAGCAGACAACTGCCCTTGCTGCCCTGGAGAGCCTGCTCCTCCGACCCACCCTCCCTTGCTCATGGGGTACTGATCTGAAAGCAGAAGTTATTTAAAAGCAGACACACAGAAATAATGAGAGATTTCAAGCTTTGCCAGAATCTTACCATGAGTCTCAGCAATCTCTCTTCCCAATAACCTCCTGACTTAAARCCCTTCACAGCTACAGGCATGGTACCAGAGTCCAAAGAATGTAAAACCCAAATGGATCAGACCAGCTTGGTAAAGYGGTCCTGCAGACTGCTGGGAGGGGTAAGGGCAGGGGTTGCTCAAATGTATTTCAGATGTTTTCCAACCAAGTGCTGAATTGACGTTTCTGGACATATTAGAAACTCAAAATGTTTAAATGTGTGTTAATTGAAAAAAAATGAATCTGTAATAGAATGGAGGGAGCAGTGGAAAGCAGGGCAGAACCCAGCACCTGGAGAGTGCAGAGAAAGAACCAGGCAGCCTCAGAAGGGGTTCACACTGCACTGGGGTGTCTGATCTTCCTGCTGGTAACTAAGGTAAGCYTTCATACCAAAAACAAAATGGAAAACTGAAGGCAAGAGCTTCAAGTACCCTGTAGCTCTTTAAACTTCATCCTTATTATCATGTTAACTTCACAGAAATCCACAAATACATGAAGAGACTAGACTAGTCTCTTTTACTCGACTAGTCAGTCTGGAAATACAGGAAAAACACGTAAAATGAGTGGAATTTCACTGAATCATTTCTGTACAATAATGTGAGAGCAGACACAGAAATGGAAAAGCAATATACAATGAGAATTTCCAAAAAGAGGGGGAAAAGTGACTCTACCCACACTTTTAACTTCTCACAGTTCTTAGGCAAAAGAGATGCAATGAGGGATGTTAACAGACCAAAAATGAAATATCAAATAGAAGTAATTAACAATYAACAACATCCATGCCTCATAGGGAGTTGCCAGTCCCTAAATGAGAATACTCACATGAGCAGAGCATTTGTCCTACTCTCTGAAATGAGTTGGAATCTATTATTCTCCTCTCTCCCTTATAACAATGCTTCTCTACCCTCCACTGATAGTTACTCTTCTTCCTAGACCATGGCCACAGGAGGCTCTACATACTCCTGAATCTTGTTTTCAGGTCTCAATCCTCCCTCCTACAGGCTGCTTATCCCTTAAGAAAAGTTGAAATAAAACCTGGTGAATGTCAGCCCTCCTCAGCAGGAATCCTGGCAGCTTGCAACTGCCAATCAACAAGGATTTTGTCTCTCCTGCAAGAAGCCCTGCTATTTACACTCCAAAAAGAAAGGGGTTTAGTTCCCTAAACACCAATAAAAAAAAGGTCAGGTCTGACTGAAGATACTTCACGGGAGAATGCCAAGGTCCAGTTTTACACACCTCAGGTTTCTGAGGCTAGAGATCTCTGGAACTTAAACACACAGAACCTGTCCATACCTCATCCTGCATAGCCTCCACTTCCCCAAACCTCTCATATCTTCAAAAAATAAAAGAATCATTGCACTTAAAGTAAYCCTGCTGTTGCAGATTCACTAAGTGGGTGTAGGCTACCTCTCATTAGAGGCTCCCAAGAGTTTTGCCATTTGGAGTTGTTCTCAGACTGCTGGCACGACACGAGAAAAGCACTTTGCTGTCAACCAGCTGCTGGTCCTGGCAGCCAGCAGGACGTGGGGGACATACCTCTTCTGTTTGTACGTCAGCATGGCTTCAGCAATGGGCAGCTGGTGTGCACAGTTTGCCCCTGCTATGTACTGYGTTATCCGTGACACGACGTCAGGTGCTTCTGAAACTGCAGGAGAACACAGGGAAAAGCATTTCAGTGACTTCTCAGACCACTGACAGCACTGTGCTCTACTTGCTGATGGTGCCCAGGCAGCTGCATTTGAACTGCAYCTTGCACAGGAAGCTCTGTCCACCCCAGAGCACAGTAAAACTGAGCCTGCACATAGCATTGCTGACTGAAGTGTCTTGGGTCTTTTAGATTTGGTAAAAGCTTTTCTTTGTGCCTGCCCAGAGTCACCTTTAGAGTTTTTCACACCTTGGCTGCAGGTATCTGCTCAAGAAAGTGCCTGGCCATCTCTCTTAGGTGAGCTGCTCTGCTCACAGCAACACTGAGTTATCTGAGTTCTAATGAACTCATGGCCTTGCTGAGTTACTGAAAAAKACTGAGGGACACACAGGGTAGGAAGAGCACAAAGATCACGTGCATTTGTGAGATTGTGGTTGATTGCTCTTTGTATTTGAACAGTGAACTGGTAAGGCCTATGATTCTCTGCCAGATATTGAGCCATCATGGGGTTTCCGTGCAGCTGCCACCACACAGAGAAAAATGCAGAATGTACAGAGTCTGGAGTGGACAAATATGAGGTGGAACTTTCCTCATAGTGTGCAGCATATAACCAGCTAAGGAACAGATATGGATTGGGCTGGATTTCTGAAGCTAATGAAGTATTCCTAATTCAGACACTAAAATCAAGTCTCTATTGACATTTTTTTTGCATTTTCAAGTGCAGCATGGAAACGAAGGAAACCAGTTCTTCCATGATTTTAGGATTGAAGGAAAGCCACACTAGGAGATTTCTAGTTCAGCCTCCTGCTCCAAATAGGGCTAGCTTTACTATCAAAACAGGCTCCCAGGGCCTTGTCCAGCCATGTCCCCATCTGCTGGAAAAAGCTCTGAACAATTACCCCTTAAGAGGTTTCTCTCCTCCTCTTACGGTTAGAGGATCTCCAGGAGCATCCTGGGAGTCTCAGGAACTCTGCAATTCCAACAGGGAGAACCACACTGCCACCTCCCCACACTCATGGTGCTCCACAAACTCTAAAGCTTTTTCCTTCTAGTGAAATTTCTGTATGGGCAATGCTGCCCACAACAGCATCAAATCTCAAGCCTTCACACAGCCCTAAAGGGTGCAAATCCACCTTTCTCCGGTTTCTTTCTGTTCTTGAAGAAATGGAGGAGAAAAGTGTAAGCATTAATATTTTAAATKAATTAGTACTTAAACACAAAGTAAGGCTTTAACCTGGCCTAGAACAAATTCAGAACAGGAACTTGTTGGGCAGGTCCCATTTGTTACCACCCAGGTGAAGAACAAAACTCTTCTTTAATGAGAATGTTTCCATGTCTGCGGGCAAGATTTTTCTCACACTCAACTAACAGGAGTTAATCTTCCCAGAGCTTCCAGATTTCCAAAGGTTTTAGGCTGCACAATTCCTGAAGGAAAGCAATGTACTGAACTTGGTAGCAAGAGCTCCATATCAAAGAACAAAGCTGAGAGCTAGGTAAGAGCAGCATGACTCAGAGACAGCTAGTTAGTGCCTCTGGGAGCCAGTAACTGTTTGCAAACCACCATGTGCAGGACTCAGAAAGGTCAGCAGCTGAAATGGGAATGTGGTAGAGTGAGGAGAAAAGAGGAACAAAAACACTTGTCTGCTTCCTCTCATATTTACTTGACCTTTGCTAAAATAACTCGTTCAAGCTTTTCATCCCACACAGGCCAGAGAGGCAGCGTCTTACCAGTGGTCTGTGCTTCAAGTTTGTTGAACAGATCTCTCCAGGCTAGATCTTGGAAGAAGTTGTTGTATCTGTAATCTACAGACCCCAGATACTTGGCCACTGGATGGGAGCCTAATAAAGAAAGAAAGAAAGAAAAATAAGACAGTTGTGTTTTCCAGCACCGAACACAAGTGTGGTTTTCATCTCCAAGGAACTAAATTACAAAATCAAAACCACTCTAGACACCCCAGAAATAAACTTCTTCAATTATAACCAMGTCATTTAGTCCAGCTTATCTCTACAAGAGCATGCAAACAGACTTTGCAGCACAGACTGGTATCTTTCACTTGACACTTTCCCCCTTACAAATTAAATTTTAAAAGACCAAAGAAAACAGGACTGGGAAACTGCTGAGGAAATAAATTATTTGGAAGGCTCAAAGGCCCCACAGCTCTCCATGTCAGCCTCTGAGTTTTGCAAACGGTTTTCCCAAACAGCCCTTCCTGCCCACAGGCTGCACCACAGCCAGGCCACCTCTGCCACGAGGGGCCAGACCCCTCCCTCCAAACACCATTTGCAATTTGAGAAGAGGCAATTGCCCCCAACCAGGAAAAACAGCCCAGGGAGGCTTGTTTAATCTGTGGAGAAGGGCTATAAACTCAATAAATACGCTTCAATTTGAGACAAAGAACAGAACCCAAGGATTACAGCACCCAGTGAATACTGGCATGTGCATCAGCCCCCTGCTTGCTCCAGGAGCATGGAAAGACCTCTTTGCAGAAGCTTTGTGTGTCCAGGCTCCAGACTGCAACCCTGGAAGGAGATCTGACTTCACACTTACATTGAGCAGGACAGGGAAGGCATTCAAGTGACAAATTCTGCCCTGAGACGTGGCAAAAAATTGCCGCTTTTATTTGAGGCCACCTGTGTCCCCAAAACAGACAATCCCTTCTTGCAGCTACCTCTCCAGTTTTTGAACACAGGACAAAAGGTGTGCCAGGATCACTTCCCAGTCAGCCATGAAGTAGCCTCAAAGTTCCCCTCAGTCCCATTTTTTCCATCCTTCCTGCACACCAAATTCTCACATCAAGCCACACTTCCAGAGGATGAAACAGTCGAGYCACCAGCTGCTACTGGAAACCTGACAAATTCTTTGGAGACGACCCCASTTGCTTAACTGTACTCACCATGGTCCAGGAAAGCTCATGGGGGGAAAAAATCCAATAAAACCACTGTCTCAGTCCTCCAAACCTCCAAGCTAATTTCCAGACTTCAAAGAAAGGCTAAAGCAGGAGGTCCTTCTGAGATCCCCTCAGCATCATTAAAGACTGGGGCCTAATTGGTTCCCCAGCCYCTCCTGATCATGGCTATTTCCCCACCCATCATTTCTTCTGCAGTGGAGTTTCAAACAGAGCCCACAGCRCAGCTCTGCACCATGTCCTGGAGAAGCTTTCCCACATGCTGGGAAAACACACTGCACATGGCAGATGCCATTGGAAACAAGTAATAAACAAGYCTCCCAAGAAGTTCTACCCATGGGAGCTATATCAAGTGTTGAGTCCCTCAAACAGCCAAAATAACCCCAGACATTTTGTTTTCCCTTATTTAATTGTTTATACATAGTTTTAGGCATCAAAAGAGTCTTTCTCCAAAGAGCCATGGAGTCAGTAGCATGAAGGAGGACTCATTCTCCCAGTACATATGTTAAGAGAAACTAAGCATTTCTGATTGCTAATAAACCACTGAAGGTGGTTTCTGCCACTGGAGTCTGTAGCTGTGGATTCAGAAGGTAAAACCACCCAGGAGAAAACTCCACCATCCCTAGCTGAAAGCTACTGCTACCAGCAGAGAGGCTTTTCCTTTAAGACATTTATGGCATGGTCACCATTCTGTCTTTGGTGCTTTTTCAATTGTCAGAAATGAGAAGTTGCTCCTCAATCACTTTAATGAACTGCCAGAGAGCTGGCCAGAAATAAGCACTTGATCCGATCAGGAAATGCTGCAGACTTCCATGGAAAAGGTCCTGTTAGAGAAGTTTCTATATTTAAAGTAGATTTAAAAAGCATTCACAGCTCTGAAGCATTTAATTATTAAAGTGCTTTGCTAATTKTTTCTATTTTGATTACAAAAGAAAGTTTTAAGATTAAAAAACCAAAACCCACATTAGATGAACCTTGTGTTTCACTTTCAAAGAGACACTATATTCAGATTATTAAAAACTTCAGGACATAAAACTCTTCCTCTGAGGCCAGGAGACAGTCAGCAAGTGAGTACCAAAGTCTCAGACACAGACTCTCATTCAAAGCACATTTAACCTTGCAGAATTTTTTTTTGTTGTTTTTACTCCCTAAAGGGCTCTCTCTTCTCTTCCTGCCAAACACTTGGAAACKAAATGTCTTTTCTTATGGAAGGATCCAGCTCCTTTGCCTTTTTTATTTGACTTTTGCAAATGCCACCACTGAATGGATAGCCTAAGCCACTCCTGCTGAGCAGCAGTTTCTGCTTCCTCCAGGAACTGCCATTAGCTGATCCCAAACCTAGAAAACTGGAAAATACTGGCAAAAAARTGTTTTTCAAGTGTTCTGTTGCTTACATCATTTAAGTGCTCTGTCCACACAAGCTAAACCCAGGAGCCCAACAGCACTGCCCAGAGCATCCGTGACTTCCCAGCTTCCCAGGCCTTGGCAATTCAACATTCCTCATGTTTCTAGCTACAAAAAGACCCCTGATGTTATTATCAGTCCTTTCTACTTCCTTCACAAGCAATGCAAACTGGGTAACTTTCCAGCCAGGCAGGCCTGTTGAGCTGCTGAAAGGGCAGAGATAAGGTGTTGGAAAACTGARGGAAAAATCTGAGACCAGCACATAAGGGAAAGGTCAAAAGATGCATGTAATTTGAATAATTTAAATTCTCAGCAGTTTCAGAGCCTTTAAAAAATTTTCTATCTCTCCTCTATTAACATTTTTTGAGTCAGGCCTGGAGAGGCCAGAACAGTTATTGCTTTGGGAAGCATGATGCCCACTGAATTTAACATTTCAGCCAGGGAATGGGCTTCCAGAACAATATTCTGTCCATAAGAGACTCGCTGTATGGGGAGGAAGTACTTAACCCCTTGCCTCAAACAAAAGGTTTACAAGCAGACTTTGGCATCAGGAAYTTAGAGATGAAATTTACCCACACAAGAGCAGCAACAGCACCATTACACAATAATACAACATTTTACTTCCTTTCCCAGCCATATACCTAGAGCCAAAGCTCCAAAAAGGCTTTTCCTGAGGGAAGAAAGCAGATTTCACCCATTCACCTTTCTAGGAAGAAACACCATTCCTTATTTACCTAGAGGGATGATCAGAAATCTCATGTAGCCGAGCCAGTCGGGGGTTTTGTGAGACAGCTGCTCTACAAAGAGCCTCAAAACAGCACTGAGGTAATTCTGGGCTCCTGCCACTGCAATTTTAATTGGGTTTGGAGGCTGCGAATTGCAGTTACAGCTAGAAAAAAAAAGAGGAAACATATTTGTAATTGTGCTTTCAACTACATATTTTAGAACAAGCAGCAAAAAAACCCCAACAAACAAACCTGGTTAATAACAATTATAGCAGAAGAGAGTTTGTTAAACACACAAGGCAATATTGAAATGATTCTCAGCAGCTTAAAACATTAGTAATAAAATACAACATTCTTCAGTAATTTCTTACTTGGTCTCCTTGCTCCTCGTTTTGCACGTTCTAAAGGGCTGGGTTCAACTATCTAGGTTAGGATGTACCTACTAACTGCTGGGTTAGGGAACACAGTCAGGTACCCACAGCCCTCAGCAGGTAAGTAGGAAATGCCTCAGGACCTGAGGAATTACTTGGGGGAGAGCAAGAACCGGGAATTATAGGAAGGGAGAGCAAGAACTATTTAAAACCCCCTGATTTGTTTTGCATGCTTTACTGGTGCATGCACCTGACCTATGAGACAGCCTCCAAAGCTTTTATAACCACTGGTGTTGGTGACTTGTGTCCCCACACATGTGGGGGCTGGTGAGTGCTGAGGAGCCACACAATTCTGACCTCAGGAGAGCAGACTGGGAGAAGTATCGGAAGGGAGAAGTTTCAGGCAGTAACTGAGAACAAACCCCCTGAGCCATGGAGCACAGGAGCAGAGAAGTTTTTATAGCTGAGACAGCACAAGCAAGGTGAGAACTTACTATCTCTGTATCCTGGAGACAATTGTGCTGAAAGCTGCCTGAATATCAGCAGAGGAACATGTGCAGACCACTGGCAAGGTGTGCTTTTGCAAGACATCTGAGAGGTACTGARGAGAGAACAGAACATTTCACAGTCCTTTTTTGGTACAGTTTGTAACAAAAAGAAAATGGGCCTCCCCCAACCTCCCCCAGTCCTCATACTCAAACCTGTGTCTGATTTGTGATATGGCTATTCCACAAATGCCTCTTCCTTGCACGGCAGCCAAAGGAAAGCTCTCCCCCTAGAAAAATGGCAACACCTTCCTGACAGACACAACACCATATCCCCAACAGGGCAAAGACAGCCAGAACAGCATGGTTTTAGCAACCACAGAGGGCAGGGCAGCAGCAGAGCACCATTCACAGCACAGGGAAAGAGCAGATACTGCCTACCTGCCTGTTTCTGGAACTGCAGCCACACCTCTCTGATTTCAAAAGCACTTAAATGCAGTGCTCTGTCCACCACGAGCACTGAAGAAAGGGAAGGGTGCTACCACACACACATGCTCCTCCTGAGGGACTGTTTCCCTCCATACAGCTAATGGGGAGCACCACCCAACACAGGTACACACATAATTATGGCACTCAGTAATTATCTCACACTTTGAATTTCTGCACTACAATCCACTCCAGCCCACATCCTGCCATATGCTCTGACACTGCAGGCACAAGCTGCCAGAACCACTGGAAGATGACCCACAACATCTTCTGTCCATCAGTAGAAGGTATTTCTCTGTCTTCCAAGTACAGAGAAAGTGGAAGAGTAGCTCAGCTGCTATTTTTGTTCTCACACATTGATACCCCAGCTCTTTCAGAAGCAGAAAGCCAAACCAGACAACRTAACTCCACAAGCCTGGCACAAGTTCTCCAGGCAACAGCCACCCAGCACATGCTCGTTGGTCCTCTTCCATACATATTTTATCACTTTCTCAGAATAAGGTTCCAAAAGGAGCAAAATTTGTTCCAAACCCAGAACAAGCCACTCCATGCTGCCAGCAAAATRAAGTATTGCTCAGGGTTGTTCTTAAAACAACTATCACCCAGCAAGGATGGGGTAATTTCTACAGTGAGCAATCACATGTACACGGCTATAAAGCTGACCTGAAATATTTTCTCCTGTGCTCACCACCTGTGCCCAGAAACCTGTCTAAACCAGCAAGAGGTCAGTGGAGAGACCTCTGTGGAAAGACTCAGGTTGCAAAGCTTCCCAAGATGCCCAGCATCTCCAAGCCAGATGAAATCCAACCTGTGGGCATTGAACACCCTGTGTGCTGCCAGCCCCCATGCACCACCATCACTCTTCCAACCAACCAAGCAGCAGAACCTACTTGGTTAGTGCAGAGCTCAAGGCCTGTCCATTCCTGAGGAGGAACAGTTCAGGAGAAATGTGCTCCAGATAATGCCYCCTGCCTTTACCTGGCCTTGCCAGTCAGATGTGTTGACAAGAATAATGTTTTCTGGCAGCTGGTCATCGGAAACAAGGATGTGATTTAGTTGATCATACACTGTTTTCCTGGGGATCTGGAAATAAACACACAGAGAAGAAAACAGCAGGAGATGTCAGTTCTAACCACCAAGGCTCCAGCTCTTGCAGTTGATGAGGTGGTTGTGCATGCTGGCCAGCCACCCCATCAGCAAAGGCCCGCTGGGCTGCTGGGACTGACACTCAGCAGCTTCYTCAACATCAGCCACCCTGGCTTTGTTGACCATTACTCTTTCTGCCATGCACTTTTACTTACATCACTTTACACCAACTAACAGTAGCCCAAGAATTTGAGATTAATAAAAGTCAGAAAACTTCAAGGAGGGAAATAAGTGAGTCTCACAGCTCACAAAAGCACGACACATAGGCTGTGCACAAGTCAGTCCCTAGCAATCTGCCTTATTTCAAAGGAGTAATTCCTCAACACATCCCTATTCATTTCTCATTCTAACAATCTGTTCCAGTGTTTTCAGTTTATGGCTGCCTGACAAAGCTACAAGCTGGCAAACCCCAGTGGACTGGAAGGAAGTATCAATTTTAGCCAAGACATAAATTCCCTCCTTCCTGAAGCTGTGGGGCCCAGTTCCTTCCCAGCAGGCACAGAGCTTGGACTAGAAGGAAAAGGATGACAGGAGACAGTTGGAGAAGAGAAGAAACTGTGAGTGGCTGGAGAGGCAGCAGWGTTATTCACACCTGTAAGTGGTGCCGGGTGTCTGGAGAGCGCTCGTTGTCCAGGCTGTTTGCTCTCTCGTTCTGTGGCCTCACCGGCTGCCTCTCCTTCAGGGATGTGCTTCTCCCCCGGCGCCCYGTCTGCTTCCCTTCAGACCTGCAGGAGAGATGTGCTTACACTCCCAGAGYTGGCACATTGCTGAGTGAGACACAGCCCCCAAATCCCAGATCCCCCAGTCTGGCAACCTCAGTCATGTCAGCAGAAGCACTGGGGAATTCTGCACTGAGATCTGAGCTGGCTTGTGACCTGCTGATTCTGCTTCTGACAGTGCAGAGCACACGGTTCAGCACATTCCCAGGAGTYCCAGGAAGCTTTCCACAGCCCATGCTAACACCCACTCCACCTCTCTGCTATTGCTGCTCCAGCATAACAAGATCCAACCATGCAAACTGCAGTCATACCCCCCAAAACACCACAGAAATACCTCTGAGAGTTCATTGATCAAGACCCATCGCTTCAGTGGCCATACACAAGGAGGGTGTCCTTGCAGTCAGTGCCTCAAGGCCACCCTGACCAAATCCTAGCATGCTGCCCATGACTTCCTGAGCAGCCCTGCAGCAGGCACAGTGCTGACCCCTGTACCTGGTGGAGGGGATGATGAGGGACTCTGTCTTCGTGATCTTCCCACTGGGTGGGAGTTTCTCCACRAACACATCTGGAGTGGGGAGTTCAGCCTCCTGAGCCTCAGCTTGCTGGTTAGACTCCTGCAAAAACACAGGGAACAGAGTTACCAGCAACAAACCCTCCCCTCTGTCTCAGCCTTGGGGCATATGGAGCCTGCCTCTTCCAGACATGCTCCTCACTGCCCAAAGGGAGAGGCCAACAGTGGCTGTCTGGGGCTACCAGTTCCCAGCTGGGCCTCACCAGGGAGCTGGAGGTAGGAAGGTGCTCAGATATGGTATTTGTAACAGGCACTCCCCCAGCTCAAAGCCAGGGATGTGATTCCTCATGCAAAGCAGATTAACTAAGCTCACCCAAATGAACTAGCTGAGAGAGAAAGACACGGGAGAAATGTTACACACCCCATGTTCCCAGCAGAGCAACTTGAGCTTTGGGATTTTTACCCCAGCACCAGCTTGATTTCTGCCAATTCAGCTTGAAGTAATACCTCTGTCTGATAAAATGGAACAGCCTTGAGCATCCTTTACAAACTCTGGATCAGCCTTCCTCAGGCTGTTTGAACAGAAGGTCAAATAGAGCATTTCAGTTGCAAAAGGCTGAAAGACAAGAACCTCCAAACTAAGGTCAGGAGGAGAACTCAGTGCCACCTTCACTGCAGCTGATGTTACCCGTGGAAGTTGTGTTGCACGTGCAGCTCTATGGACAGACAGAGGCATGCCACAGAATGTAGCTCACAGCTGACACCCAAACTGACAGGAAGAAAGTCAACAAGTGCATTTTCAACTTACATAAGGGACAGTGTCAGAAACACTGTCGCCTGCATGTTTGGTTCCAAGACTCTTTGTCTTTTCAGGCACTTCTACCTGCTTGAGAGAAGAAAAATCCTCAGGAGGTTTAGCACCAGCACAGTTTCCAGCCACAACTCTGTGTGTCAGGCTGTTCAGAAGACATGCTGCTCCATTTAAACATCACACAGCCCTGCAGGATGGCCAGCAACGTTTCCTGGTCACACCAGACCTGCACACATGAGTGTGGGATGTGGCAAGGCTGATGCACAACACACAGAGAGGCAATGAAGTGCCCTGGAATGGGACTGACACTCTATGCCCATCCATGAGAGGATGGAAAAAGGGTTGAGCTGACCATTAGCTCTCAGCCACCAGGAAAAGTATCCCAACAGTAAAGAAAAGCTTCCTCCACAGATTGCTGAGAAGTCCCTAAAACTCTCAGGCAACATCTCCCATCCTGGCAGTCATTTCATGCACATGAGAAGAAAACAAAAAACCCCAAACCAGCAAAAAAAAAAACCCCAATCCCCCAAAAATCCAAACATGCTTTCTTGCTGAAAATTTGTATCTCTGCATCCAATTCTTTGAATGGAGGAGGTCAGAGAAGGTGCTTTAATTCACACATGTAAATAAAGACAGGTCTGTTATGTGCAGACAGGTAACACTTGAAATGTGACTTACAGGACTCGGTGGCTCTCTCTGGCTCCTGACGCTGTGGATGCTCCCAATTTCTGTCTGAGAGCTGGAGTGTGACAGTCCTTCAAAGTAAGGTCTGAACAAGAAGAGTGACACCAATTTCTTATTATCAAATACACTGACAGGGCAACTCCACCKCATTAACAGCAAAGCAACACGACAATTCCCAGAGGATCTTACTGGTCCCATACAGTTCCAGTAAAACAGGCCACTTTTGAAAGGAGAGGAAGGTGTCCAGGACAGTAAGAGAAGCCAGAAMGTCCAGGGATCCCTGGATCTAGCTTTTGACTGAAATACAGCAAGTAGAATCACTGCTTCCTCCCACCACCCAACACTCTGCTCCTGGGCAAGTGATTCTTGGTGCTAATGTGCATTTTATTTCCAGCTTGTATCTGGATTTGGCTGSCAGCCCTAGGCTCCAATTACACATTTGCTCAGTAAGATAAGGTAGCACACACAATCAGATTGTGCTTCCACTCAAAAGGCAGCTCATCACATCAGCCTACGAGACTCAATTACAATGTAAGGAACTGATTTTGTTCTTGTTGCAGGAAAAACCTGCCTGCAAGCCACCAGCATTTATCACATCCTCTTCAAGATTTGATATGAACACAAGAACTGGACACAGGAAACTGGTCTCCCCAGGACCAGACACATTAAGTTCTTATTCCAGGAATCACATATCCCAGAACAGTTAGCTCCTCAGYTCCAGGGAACAGGATATGAACTCTCAGTGTGTACAGTAAAACATTTTGGCTTGTTTCAAAGCAGCTGCTTACCACAATACATCTTTTTTCAAATCCCTTCAAGGCAGGGCCTACCAAGTGGTGATATTTTGGTAAGTGCCAAACACCTTTACAAGCCCCACCATTTACCACTGCTGTSCCAGTCTGTCCTTGATATCTTCTGGCTGACTGATAATGAACAGGTCACTCCAGACTCAGAATCTACTCTTAGCCCAACGAGGTTATCCAACATTAATGAGGATATTATGACACCTGGCAATCACCCAGCATTTAGCAGATGCTGTGCTGGCCAACTGCAGTGGCCAGTGCCATAACTCTTTGTTTCAGAGCCATCACACACTGAGGGCCTGAGAATGCAACCATACACGAGTCAGAAGCACGAGTGCAGCTCAAACAGCCTCATGTTTTCAGTTTTTACTGGGCAGGGATGTGACACAGCTCTGTCAGTTCCGGGCTCTGCATCTGCTCGAGACCCCCAGCTCAGCTCTGCAGGGCCGGGACTGACCCACACATCACTGCCCACATGGGCCCTTTAAGAACAGGCTGGAGCATATCCACATGTGCTGCAGTCAATGCCTTTGGGCCCTGAGGAATTCATTTGTTTCCTGCAGCTCTGCTTCCTTAATCCCTGTRAAGATTCTCTTTCCACACAGGGTATTATTACAAGAAAGGTCTTTCCAGAAAGACAGTGTGCCTTGCTCACCCCTACCTCTGTATCTGCCTTAGCACATATTTCTTTCCTGTTTCTACTATTTCTTCAATAGACTGTGTAAAGTTCAATTCTCTGCCTGCCTGCCACCACCATGTCCATCCCCTGCTCTCAGGTGGCTGGGCATCAGAATACCTGCAAAGGGAACAAGGAAGAACTGAGACTGAAGGGCAGTTAGACCCCACACACACTACTCCTAGATCACAAGCAGTCATTCTCATTCTACCACCACCACATCAAGAGGGGAAAAAAMCAGCATCTGACATTGTACACAGTCTCTCTCTGGCCCAGCACAAGCTGCCTGACACTTACTTTAATTTTGGCTTTGGAGTGCTCAAGACACTGTCATCATCCTCCATTTCTGGCCCGCTGTCACTGGGATTCTCTATATCCAGTGTGTCGTACAGAAGGTCCAAATCCTCCTCCACCTCTGGAACATGCTCTGCCGGGTCCTGCTCTGAATCCAGGACCTGCACAGGACACAAACAGGTATCAGTGACTCTGCCAAGAGCCAGACTCATCCCACATTACCTGTGCACCCCCAGGACTGCAATACGCAAGTCCTGGGAGTAAGACTCTATTCCTGGTGCTAGGATACTCTATCCAAAAGGAMCATTAAGTTTATGAGAAATGCTTGTCTTGGATCTTGTCAGTGCCTGGTTAAGCAGGAGTTACATATTGGACTAGGCATCCATGAGCAAGCAATTTAACCATTAATTATGACCATTATTCAACTCTATTCTGTTTAAAAAAGCTTYTAAAAGGCTTCAAATGAGTCCTGTTTTTCTTAGAACCAGTACAAAATTCCAAAATCCCAAAAGTGTTACCTATCTCGGTTTTATTGAAAAAGCTGCCCGGACACCTCCTGATTTGATACCCAAAAACGTCCACAGGAGGCGCCTGAAACCTGGACGAGGATCCGCTGCCAACCGCAAAGCAAGGAGAACAAATACCTCCCACTGAACTTGCTCGGGTTGCTTCACACACACCCCGGAGCAAGCAGCTGTGCCAGTCCAGAGCCTGCCTTCCGAGTGGCAGCTCCAGAAATGCAGCAGCTCGGCTGTCTGAGCCCTGAGCTGTGGGTGCTGACCCTGCCCAGCTAACTTGGGATGAACAGCAAAGCTACCAGGACTGTTTGGAACAGTAAGGAAGCACGAGGAGTTACTCACCCTGTCCCACAAGCCACAGAATCAGCACACAGCCATGCAGCCAAAGGAGATGTTAACTGTTTTTGTATTGGATGCTCAATCTTACACAGGTTTCTTGGGGTTTGGATCTGTTTCATCCTTTTCAGYTCTGACCAAGCAGCTGACTCTTGTGCATCTGAGCTCCCTATCCAAGTTTTTCATGTCTTGCCTGGCTGTTCTAGCAAGATGATCAAACAGGCTGGGATTTAACTTCACAAGTAATATACACCACGGACTATTTGCCTTTGAAAGGGTCAAAGATAATTTCAAAGCGATCTGCAAAACTAATGGGTAYGCGCATGGCTGCCAAAATCTGCTTTTGATAAAACTTCATCTAGAAAATGTTTGCTGACATTTRGAAGTTGGCCCTCCAGCCTCCATGCAAGGCCAGGGTGTAAGGAAAGGTCACATCCACTGTCGACGTGAAAACAAAATGAAGGGAATGAGAGGAAACAGGAGAGWGTTCCTGAAGACTAAAACAGGATGCACCAAGCAGAGGGCAGCACACAAGACAGGAAGGTTTACAGAATKAAATACTCACCTCCTCAGACACTTTAAACCTCTTCAGCAATGCCACAACCTTCTGTTTGAAGTTTTGTTGCTGCAAGTTAAAAACACTTTCACGTAAGTAAAGCATTAAAGTGAGCTGTTTTTTTCCCAGCCTGCAAGAAGCCCAGACACATCGGACACTGGTGCTACACTGCTGCTTCAAATCAAACAACGCCTGGCACACAGACCCCACATCCCTGCTGCTCTTACTCTGAAATCAGCTTTTCCTCACCTATGAGAATTCCATTCTTACATTACCATTAACTGCTAGGTCCCATTTCACCGAGCACTGCAAATCATCTGAAAGATGGCACACCACTTTAGGCTGGACACACACTGGAYAACGAATGTTATCTGGCCAGACCACCTCCTGTACCTTTGTGATATATTTCTGGAAAACACTTGACAATCAACTTTTCTGATTCTTAACAAGGGTGAGCCAACACAAACAACTACCCATGACACCAAGTCTAAATATGGTTCATACCACCAAATCCTAGGCTTCTTTTTTGCAGAAGCTTGCATGGCAGGTTCATTTATTTCACTAACAGCAATGGAGAAAAGTTGTGGCACTTAGCACTTGTCCCCATCACACAAATGTTCCTTGAGTCATACTCCCAGATCCTGGACACAGGAGGAACCGAGTCCAAAACATGCCAAGGCAAACTGCTGCCCTTCCTTGTGTCTGCTCASCCCCAAGATCTGCCCTTTTTGCAGCATCAAACAGCTGAGGTTTGCCAGGAGCTGCCCAGCCTTTCTCTGCCTGTCACTGACAAACCTGATATKCACATTCTCAAGAAGACAACAAGGGCCCAGGTCTTAGTACAGAGCCTTTGAGATGGCAACCCTGTGTCAGGAGGAAAAGGAGAAGGAAATGGCTGGCACCAGGCCACTCTTAGGTGAAGGAAGCTGCTCTTTTGCTGGCTCTCCTGTATCTCACCTGAGCACTTGCAAGTCCAACTGCCTCCTCCCAACTCTGGCCTCAGACATTTCACACAGACCCCAAACTGCACCCTTTATCTCTGAACTCACATCCTGCAGCTGCAGCCACCTTCTAGACAGCTGAAGTTCAGGTGAAATAAATCCACCACACTCCCCCAAGACAGCCCTGCTTCTGTCCCCAGTGCATCCCTGAGGCTGAGATGCTCTCACAATAGCRAAAGTTCTTCTCTGGCTCAGCGTGTCAAGTAAAACCATCACAACACCTTGGACCAGYTCAGCAGTCCATAGAGGGAGGAAACACTCAGCATGCAGTAGCTAAGGTGACATGGCAAGAGCTGTTTGCTGGCCTGAATGGTTTCATAGAGAGGAGATCTGCTTTAGAGCTGGGCTGATGTTTGCTTAACTGCAGCACTAAACCCAGTTTTGCACCAGCTGCACACACTGGAGATTGAGCATCAGTTCAGAGGTCAGGGCTAGAAAGACGTTTTTATTAGGAGTTCCTTGCTAAATTATCAAGCAATGGATTTTATCCTGGCTGGATGATGACACTTCGAAACAATACTAAGGACACCAAGGATATGAACTAGCACACTCCTGGTCTCATAGAAAGGATCTTTATAGTGACAGATTCATCAAAAGATGGATTTCAGTAACAGCCTTAGAGGTAGTTCAAGCATTTTCAATTTACTCCTGAGACCAAAACAAAACTCATCCTAGTGATTCCGAGTTACTGCCATCACGGACATGCATAAACACTCGTGCAAGAAGAAAGCTGCATCGTGGTGTGGTCAAGCACAAATCCCCGCTCCACACAAGTGCAAATTTGCAGGCACACTCATGCTTGTGAAAGAGGGTGGATGGCCACATGCATCTTTCCAAAGCTTCTATATAGATAATTATATGTATCATATCCAGCTACTGCTTCTGTCTCAGCACCGCATGCACCACCTGAGGTTTATCTATCAAGCTCTGACCCCTGACTAAGCCTTTTGAAAACTTCCAACTGGTTTGTCTGAAAACAGAGAACATAAATAGGAGAGCTTTCCTTCACTTTGAGCTACTTTCAGGACTTACATGAGTACGGATCCTGCACTGGCTTCTTCATGGGGGTGGAATTTCATCCACTTGCATGATTTTGGAGCTCCTTAACCTTGAAGCCAAAGGACACTCAAGACAGCACATGCACACACCTCAGATGATCCCACTGCCTGAACTGGCTGCTTTTGCTAGCTCTTCACATGCTGTGACCATGCCCTCAAGCTCCATGCTGGGCCAGCATGTCTAGTGCAGCTGCTCCCCCACAAGCCACATGCACTGCACATCCTGGCCAAACCCCATCAGTGTTAGTAAAACTAATTTCCACCGACCCTGGTTATGGACGTCGTTCTTACTATCGTTCTCCGCTGCTTCTTGGGCTTCCCCAGCTCGTACTCATCATCATCCAAATCCTGAACAGAAAGAGGATTCCTGTGTTACCTTTGAGATTCTGTGACACATGAATGTTTAAGTGTTAAAAATGTTGTTTCTATGAAGATGAACCTGCTGCTCTGTCTTCCAGGCATCCAGCATTTRCCTTAATTGCAGTTATGATGGCAGAGGGAAAAGGAAGGGAAACAGGTCTGCAGGGACAGGAATAACAGCTTGGAGAAGCAAAGCAGCCCTAGTTCTACATTCAAGGACAGTCACAGCCCCACATTTTGGTGGTTTCCTCTCCTGGTACCCTCTGACAGGTGGAAGGCAAGTGATGCCAGAGTCTGAAGGCAAACAAAACCCAAACTCAAAAGCATCTCACATCTAGTCAGGGGATTCTCCATCAGGACCTATCGTGCAAAAGGTATTTAACACTACAGACTGCCTTGGACCCAACTAGCCCTTTAATTACAGCTGGGGATCCAGTTGGGCTCTTTGAATCCCATGAGCACTACAGAAACAATCAAACAATGCCCTGACCATTAAGCAGWGAAACACAAGAATGCCAATGTTTTATAAGGGAGCTCAAGCCCAAACACGTGAACAGATAAATCACAGCATGGTAGAAGAAATGGGTTACTGTGCAGGCCTCCTCCACTGCAGCTGAACACTCGGTAACAGTCTCGCACTGGCRTGGTTTAGATACAGAAATAGGCTTTTAGTTTCAAGCACGAGCTGGGATTTCACATGCTCCACTGAGCCCTCACAGGGAGAAGCCATGCCCTAAACAGTACCTGGCCCTGTACGGCATCATCACTGGCCTCCTGCTCAGAAGAGAAGCTCTCGTACTCTTCCTCGGAATAGTTGTCTGAAAGGGAAGGAAAGAGGGGAGAGATCCTGTGAAACTCCTTTAAGGTGAGGGCACAGTCTCAGGAGCAGAAAAGGCCAACTAAGTCACAAATCAAGAAAGGAGGCAYACAAGGAGAAGATCAACTAGCAGGCGTCTATCTGTGCTAGAACCAGTGAGATGGGAACTGTCTGGAGGAAAGGAATGAGCAGAAACACAACCAGTTAGAACGAAGGACCAGCACACTGAGGAGGCTCCTCCTTTCACCCTGGAAAGAACCACCAGGTAGACAGCAGCAAGCAAAGAGGCTTCTCCATGAGGCAAATTACTTTTCCCCCTAACATGGGCATAACTGACTTAAAGGGGCAAGTAAAACATGGCAGAGTCTAAATCCTTTCTGGTAACGCCACTTCAGGGGAGCTGCCTGRCACCAGGCAACAACACACAAACACCTACATGCACTACCTTCAGCAGGTCACTCTTGGAACAGTGAGCAGAAGGCTGGTACCACATAAAAATATCATCACAAATATGAACCCAGTGATTTCCCTATGCAGTGCACAACATCATGGATTTATCCATTAAGCCAGGTCATCATCTACAGCAAAACATCTTGCAGGTTTGCAGGTCTCAGCTAAAGTTAATGAAATTTATTGTAGAATACTCAAAGGAAAAAGAAGATGGAAGAGTAGCTTAAATGTGAATCTCCTGAATACACCACTGATAGCCAGGTGAGAAGCTACGGGTTCTCAACACACTCACCAGTAATGCTGGGAGAGCACTGGTGAGAAYACAGCCAACCCTCMCTGGATGGCTCAGGTGTGGTGTGRYATGCAGGAGAAACTTTAAATTCAATCCCCATTCCTRTCACACTCTCTGCTCACACAGCAACACATTTGTCAAGCGGGTTTTCTTTGCACTGATCAGTTACAGACATACCAACTTGTGCAAACCAGTCCCAGGAAGCACTGAAGCCCAGATGGGGTTTAACTCCAGGTAGCTCAGGAAGACACTGCTCCTCAGAGAATGTGGTTGTACTCTCACCTGTAGACTTGATTTTCTGGCTGGCCTGCATTGTGCTATCTTCATGGTCGATCGGCTGACTCGACAAGGAGAAGATCCAGATTTCTGCCACCTTCACTGGAGCCTCTTTGATGTTGCTGAAAAGGCTCAGAACCTGGCCACCTTCTGTAGGGTGCTGCATGACCTGGGACAGAAATTAAGCAGTACAAATCTGCATTTAAATGTATTTAAACTTGCATCATTTGCATACTACAAGGGTTATTTATGTTAATAGGGTTACTCCACATACCAAGACCTTGTAACCACAGGAGCCACTTACAGGCAATAYATAAGGCTAGTTGAGATTTTATCTGACTACTAATSAAAGTGATAGAAGGAAAGAAAACATTCTGAGCTTTACAGTTGATTAGCTAATCCTTGAAGCAGAGTACTTRACTACCTCATTACTATGTATTTCTTCCCCAGCACAGTACTGATTTGAATTATCAAGTTACCCACTTTCTGAACACCTAATTAAGGAACTTAATTTTGTTTCAAAGCCCAGCAAAAGAGCCACTAAAAGAAAAACTTCTTGGTGAGATACAGATGTAAGTGCTTCCTAAAGCAACAAGAGAGCTGACATGTGAAYCTCAGAGGAACTGGCCACCACCCTGGGATAATGAAGCAGCAAACATGAAAAACAAGTCAACAGCGGAGGCAAAGGGACATCTCRGGCAGGTTTCTCCTTCCTTTGCCCMTCTGCTCMRAGGTTTSTCCMCAGAATCTTGTRTTCTTCTCTTGCCCCACCAGTGAGTAAGCCCAGCCCCACACCTGTACATCAGCTTTCCAACACACACCAGACTGCTCTGTCAGCTCCTCACACGGATCTGAACAGACCTGAGCTGATGAGGAGCATATGTTMCCCTGTTCTGAAACTGCTCTCACTCTCAACTCCAATTCACTGCTTTGTTTCAACAGCTAAGAGAACCTTTTATATATTTTTTTAAAGAAATGAGTCAGTGCAGTTTAGGGGTCATCATCCTATAAACTGCAAAGGGGAGGGGGGGCTTGTAAAATTTGTTTTCCTGAAAGCTTCAATTTCATAAATATTCCAGATGAGCTGGAGAGCAACTATTTCCTAACATGGTGAACCCTTGAACATTTCCGACCTTCTAACCCCAGTCAGCTGACATTACAAACAGACATAAGAAAAACCACATGTAGCAGCAGCAAATGCCCAACACTTAGAAGTTCACCGATGACTCTAATTAATGGGCCCACATGTTTTCTGCCTTACAGCACTATTTACTTTCTGGTTCTCCAACAAATCAAACAGTACAGGAAAAATGTTAGCTGCAACACCACACATTTGGCCAATTCAAACAAGGAGTTCACCATTCACTGCAAGACTGAGGGAAGCTGAGCTCACACAAGAGGAGTAGTCTTTACAGTGAATTATTTAATATAGTGATAACTCACCACAACATAACACTAGCTTACTTTGGATAAAAGTCATTTGCTGACAGAATGCAGTCTGATGAGAAATATTGGTGTTAAGYTGAACTTGCTACTGCTAAGCCCATTTCTAAACACCGAGAAACAGAAACAGCAGAGATTAAACAGGGCATGAAATAACAAAGCATGGAGCTATGCCATTCAGAAAGCCTCAGTGAATAATTTATCCTTACTTGACTCCAGCACTAATTTTATCATTTACTTCTCATAAAGAGCTCCACCTAAATTACCAACAGCCATGAAATAACAACGGCAAAGGGTTTTTCAAGCAAAATGAGAGAAATTACTTAATCCTGAACTCTCATACTGTGGCACTGAGAAGCACGGCAAACCTTGCTTTAACTTTAGCATTTCTCAGTGTTGAAAGCCTTGCCCAAGTGACTATGTCTTGCTCTGCATTTTTGATTTGGACCCCTAACTCTAATAAAGCCACAAAACAAYAACAAAACCCTCAAAAGGTCACAAGCTAGCCTCATGAAAGCTTTAGCTCTTATGATACGAGGCAGAAAACGCTCAATATTACTACTCAGTAATAAAATCAGTTAAAATATTGCCCTGTGAATATTGATTACAGCTATTAAGTCAGCTATTTGAAATCCTGCCAAGTACTTCTCAATGAGGAAAGGGACAACAATGGGTTTGAAGGAAAGGGGAAAATGTCCACATTTGTAAATAAGAGCAGCTCACCTCAGCCATGTTGATGCACCCCACAGCCAGGGTCTTGTAGCCTAAAATGGTTCGGTTCTTGTAGCGCTTCCGCCGCTGCAGCATGATCTGAAGCTTGTTGCCTTCTCTCTTCAAGAAGTGAGGGTACTGAGGTGGGAAATACAATGGAAAAGTTCATTTTGTTTCCTGACAGTATCTCCCAAGCTTCATGGATACCCTCCACTCCTAAGGAATAACCCCAGGGCTTTKCTAARTGCTCACTCGMACTCAGTGGGCAATCCTTCATTATYCCACTGAAGAGCTCAGCTCTGCSCAWACAGCTCAGACAAGMACTCCAAAAACACAATCCAGGGACACAGAGGGGCTGTTCAGTTTGGGAAGGGCTGGTTCCAGGGAGATGAGCAGCCTCCAGAAGACACTCTCCCCAGCAGCTAAACAGAAGCTGCCCAGAACTGGAGCCTGAGGTGCTGCCCGGGGCATGGGCTGCCCTGAATAAACAGTGGGCAGTGGCAGGGACAGCCACCAGCCCCACACTYTTGGCAGGACACTGCCTTCCCTCCAGCACAAGGACACTTCTCAAATGGTTGTATTTTAAGTAATTAAGTCAAGAAAAAAAACCTGTCTTACTGCCAGGATATGTTGCAAAGACATAAATACTTCCAAGATGTGTTCCATACAAGAAAATAMATTTGTTTATACATTTTCATCCCAAATATATCCCCAGAAACACAAGGCTATAAAGTCAAGCAGAGACTATTAGGGAAAGAGTAGTGCTAACCATAACCATAAAAATGACGGAAAAGCCATGCAAAGGAAGAAAAGTCTTCCAAAAAAAATGAAGCAGCCACCTGGCCAGTCTCATCCCAAGAAGAGAGGAGACTGGGACACATTATCCAAATATACAACATAAATTGTACCAAATAACCTGCAGATAGGAGAACCTGATTGCACGGATCTCAAAGAGGACATTCCCAACTGAAGTATGCTTCTCTTGCAGGCAAGAACCAATTTCTTTTTTTCCTCGGGACATTATGAAAATTAACTTCCTGCACATCAAAACACTYGATAAATACAAATACCAAACACCACCAGAAACCCCCAAGATATTAATTTGCAGTCCAGAGCAAGCCTGACTGCTCTGCAGGGAGCTGGGAGCAGTGGCCACACAAACAAGAAGAATACTAATTAGCTGATTGCTCTGCAAGGGCAAGATCTACTGCTCATTACCAAGGAAGAGGCGTTGCACAGGASAGGAACACCAATCCACACAACTAAAAGACAACTCAAAACACACAGAGCCTCTGACTCTACAGATGTGCAACATCCCTAAAGAAGGATGGATGAAAGTCCTTAGAAAGAAAGTGTAGGAGGGGCTCAAAAAGCCAGAGGTTCTTTTCACATTCAAATTTACCATTTCCTTGCTTCTGGGACCTTTCCACATGTTGGAAGGTCAGCAGGGAAGAGGGACTCCTTGCTCTCAGGTCAAAGCAAGGCCACATCAAGGCTGCTCAAGTACAAACCTAGAACTGAAGTCCCAAGTCACACCCGGTCCCAGGCCAGCTCAATTTGAATGTGTTCAGTTTTCAGGGATTAAACAGAACAGCTCAAGTCCCCACATGTGCAAGTTTCTGTTTTTATAAGGTCTACTGGAATTTACTGGTTATTCCTGGCCATCTCTGATGAACATTCAGAGGTGGTAAAAGAAAGCTACAGAGAGACTCAGGCCATTCAGCTCCTCCCTTAAAACCAAGGCCCTTCAAAGGAAAAGATGAGCCATTTGCATAGCGCAGTCCAGCTTTTTTAACACCAGACATGACTTATCAACTTTACAGAATTGCTYCAACCCAAACTTTTCAGTAATTTTCAGTCCATGACAGAGATTGGAAAGGAAAACAGTTTGGCTCAAAACATATGAAAACGTCTAGAGGGAGCAACAAACACCTCAAGGCACCTCTGTGGGGTGAGAAAACACACCAGAACAGTGAGTGCCAGGCCAACACTTTTTTCTGAAGCCCCAATGATGTAATCTCCCCCATCTGGAAAGGTTTATTAGATTAAGGACCAGAATTAAGTGCGGAGCTCTCAATTAATGCCAGAGAGCTATGATGTTGTGCTTGGAATATCGGGGGAATTCCCCTCAATTCTGTGAAACCCACAGGTCTGGCCCTGGCTAGGAGGTAAAGCAGGACTGGACACACCTCTAACTCCACTCTTACTCAGCTGTGCAAAAGAGCAGCAGGAAACTCCTCCCTTCTGCTTGAGTAGAAGCCTGCCAAACTCGAGGGGCTGCTTGCTGTTGTACCAGCCAGCAGAACACCTCCAGCTCAGCTCTGACAAGGAAACACTCGGTGCAGAGGGMAAGAATGTCACCCAGGAGAAGGAGCTGAGCTGGCAATGACTGAAGGTACAAGGGGCTGCAAATACAGGCAGGTAGCACAAAGCAAGGCACAGGGTGTCAAGAGTTGACACTGCAATATGGAGGTACTGCTTACTGCAAGACAACAAAGCCTTGTCCTGTGACACCCATAGGCTTTTATTTTGTGGCATCACCATTCTCAAATATATCCCAGGCACTAAATCCAGACTGCATCTGAATTAAGCTACAGTTGTTAGCTACAAATAGCTTTCAGCCATTGTCCAATTAAGCGGCAGTAAAAGTTGCCATAAAAATCCTGCTGTGCCATTTCAAGAATGCCTCCCAGGCCTTACTACATTCAAGACCACCAAGCCTTCCTGCAGAGACCAGCAGCACATCTCTGCTTTAAGCTCACTTACCTTTGCTGAAGGCTCAGTGTCACAGACACACCTCTCCCCTGTTCTGCCTCAATTCCCAGCCCCGTCAGGGAAAACAGAGTTAAAGGCAGTGTTCTGCATCCTGCTGCAGCATTTTTCAGAGCCCCAGGGAAAAAAAAACCCACCACATTCCCAATTAATTCCAAAAAGATCTGCAGGCTTGCTCCTTGCTGACACAGGACTGGCAGAGGGAGACCTGGCTCGTCTTACAGCTCTGCTCCCAACCATGGGAAAGCTGCAGCTGCAGGATCCAGGTGTACACATTCCTTATTCCTGGCATGCAGCTTGGTTATTCCTGCTCACAAGAGAGGGGATGCAATGCTGCATCAGGACTGAAGAAAAAGCATCAGCCATCTACGTATCTGCCTGGGCAGCTGCAGGGTTACCATCTGCCTGCCATGGAATCTCCCCTGCTCCAGCTCTGCACAGGTCTGAGTAATAGCCACACATCATCACCTGAGCCTTTCTCCTTACCAGATCAAAGTCCTGAAGTCAAGATCTAACCAACAGTCACAGAACAAAGATAATCCAGATATGAATGATTCTGAGTGGCTCTGGCTCTGCTCTATGCATGAAGGATCCCCTCTCTCACTTTCMGCAGCCCCTATTTACCTCACTTCCCTGCTTGGGAGGTAGCACCAGGGCATCAGGCTTTGAAGAAAAGAGGAACCAAAATACGCAATTGTTCCAATTCACAGCTATTCCTGTGACTCTAGAGCCACGAGTAATTATAAGCACACTGCTCCTGCTTCCCCAAATGGTGCCTCCCTCAGCAATTCCACATCAGAGGCTCACCTGACTCATTCCTACTACTGCCTTGTGTCAGCCTGACACTCCACACCACCCCCAGCTGCCATCCTCCACTGCCTATTCGGAAAGAAGACAACAAAAGGCAAAAAAGAGCCAACTTGCTCTGCTTCAGCTCTCGCCACAGCCATAACTTGAAAGGGACAGACTGCAAAATCTTCATGTTCCAGGATGCACAAGAAGGGACACTGTGAACCAGCACCCTGCTCCAGACTCTCAGCRCTGAGAGGCAATTCTGACAAGCTGTGTTGTCACACACGAGGACATGCAGAGGGCCTGAGCCCCAGCAGCACCCTGGTGCCTGCAGAGCAGCGAGCCCAGCAAGCACACCCATGCCAGCCTACCTGCAGAGAGAAGGTCAGCGCCAGCTCCGTYTCCACATGTCCACTCGGGGGCAATACAATCTCGTGAGACCGCAGGATGCGCTTGGAGCCCTGCACGGAAACAAAGTCCAGCGGGTGAATTCCCCCAGAAGCCAGCCCTTACATCCCATCCCAGCCCTATTTACTGCGAACCAGGAAACGTTGTCAGGGACTACCACAAAGAAGTGAACGGATGGGCCTGACCTTGTACTTCTGTGAAATATTAATGAGATGAAAGGGAGATATTTGACTAATAAAGATTTGGGCATATTTACTGTCCCTAACTGCAACAATGCAGCTTTTGTTCTGCGAAACCCCAGCATTGAAAAGCTGTGAGTCAACCCCCACCCCTGGAGYTGAAGTCTCGTATTTTCACTTCAGCCAATAGGTACAAGGCTCTTCATCTCCCGGGTCTGAAGGCTGCAGCATCATGCTTAAATCTCTGGTGTTAGCCATGACAGSCCAGGCTTTTCTTTTTGTGCACACACCCCTCCCCGGGGAAAATAGAGACTTCAACCTGTTTAAACAATTGCCAGTAGCTGGGGATATTAAAGAAAAAAATCACTAAGCATCTCGGCAGAGTCTGGAGATTTAATGTATCACAGGGCAACTCCAAACCAACCTTGTGTGTGGGCTGCCTTATGCTAACAGAGTTACTGGGCTATTTACCGTGTGAGCATTTCATTTCAGGGAATGTTTGAAGGAAAACTAGCAGGAAAACATGACAGACTGCTGCCTAGCAAACCCTTCTGCGTTGTTCAAACACAGTGGCAAGTTTCAGAGGTCTCTGGCTCAATGTTCTGCTGAGGCTGCAGATCTGGCTTTGTCCAGACGGGCTGATCTCCCAGAAGCACAGAACTGTGGCTCTCGAAAAAGCAGCATCTGGGAAATCAGAGACAGACTAGGGGGGAGCAAACACCTCCAAGCTACATCCAAAGGGAAATGCGGTCTGCCCCTATCAGCCTCAAAGAGCATCATGAGGTGAGACAGCAGCAGAGCCTGGTTAACATCCCCTCCTCCCCAAACGCACGGCTCAGGCAGCCAGAGCAAATGCTGTGATCCACAGTGGAGCCTCAGCTCCTGCGCAGCACCAGCTCCTCTCTGGAAACACCGCGGTGCCTGAGCTCCAGCAGATCAGACAACACACAACAGAGCACAGCAGGCACCCCAGGGCTGCCCCCAGGACAAGCAGCACATGTGCAAGGGGAGCACAGCCAGCCTGGCCGCTGGCAACAGCRGCAGCTGCTCCATTTGTGCACAGCTCCTAATAGCAGCAATCTTGCTTTACTGGTTACGCAACCAAAATCTAATGAAAGACCAAATATAGTTGCTTTTAAAAGACGGCAGCAGATAAACAGAGCAACGGCTGGGGAGATACAGCTGACAACTCTTTGAACATCACTGCTCAGGAGGCTGCAAGGAGACATGGGAAATGCAGGTAAGATGCTCTCATTAGGTCTGGATTCAGTCATCTGCTCTGGAAGAGCTCTGGTGTCTGACACCTCGCATGCAATTCCCCACACAAAGGCAGTCATTTGACAGAGATCACGTATTTGATGATCCAGTAGCACCAGCCTCAAACAATAGCCATGTCAGAAATCTGACTGCCAGCAAATGAAGCATCCCTGAAAGAGTTTGACAGCATCAGCATCATAACCTGCAAGCTATAAAGGGACTTTTGATAGCAGGGCTTTGAACCTGGCTATGTCTGACAGCTGCAGTGCTACTGACCCACCGTTAAACAGCACATCCCAAAGAAAAATGGGTGCAGAGCCAGCACAAGGGACACTCAAGGTGAGGCACTCTTTGAGACAACGGTCATTCCAGCCACTGTCACCTCTAGGTCAATTGAACAGGGTAAAGTAAGGATGGCCTGATGATGCAAGCTGCAGCCTGGGACTTGGCAGATGCATGTCTTGAACAAGGCAAGCCCTTCTGCCTTCCAGCTCCTCAGGGAGCAGCTGTGGTGTGAGGAGGACAGCTCAGGTTCCAGTGTTTGAGTTACYGCAGCAAGGCAGATCACAACAATTACCCAAAATGGGATAGGAAGCTCCCATGTATTAAAATTCCCTTCGGATTTGTGGGTCTGGGGAAAACTTTCACCTACTGAAAGTGTAAGCAGCAGTAATCTGGACAGGAAAAGAAGGTTTTGCTCCAATAAAAGCTACCAAATYCTTCAGCCCAAGTCTGGCACTCTCTGGGCACAGATCACTCACTGAAAAGCCTCAGGTCCTTGCAGGATGCATTCATCATCCAGGAGTACAAACATATGGAAAGCTTTCAGCCTTGATAAGCAGTATCTGACAGCCTGGAAACCCACAGCAGCGCTTCTTCTGAGGTTCCCACAAATCCAGGTGTGTGAAGCAATTCCCTGCCTTTCTGCTCCCTGCTGTGGGTGCATGAACCCCCTCCAACACAGAAGGACACATTTTAACCCCAGCTGGATGACTCAAAGATGAGACATACCAATTAAAACCTCAGTTATATGTTTTTCTACCTCAGACCCTTCCTGATTTCCCGCTCCAAGCTAGACTCTGTGCACTTTGACACAACCAACTCTCTGCAGGGGTTTGCCTAGTTCCTTATYTGAAAAGCAGCAGTTTTTCAACACAGTCAATGTTCTACTTATAGGTCTGCTAGGCTTTTACTCGTTAAGCACTTTAGCATTTGCAGTGATGGGAGCACGTGAGCCCAAGTGATGCTGTGACGCACTGTGGAACTGAGTCCCCTTCCTTCCCAGCCYGCCTCCAGGCGGTGTGACCTACATGGAGGCACCTAATTAAATGGCACAAACATCTGCTATAAAGTGGGTTATTTACCTAGTATGACAACTGTATTTTAGGAAAAGCAATTAGACTGTACAGGCACCCTACAAATCCACTGACAAGCTTGGCTGCAGACTCGACAGCAAAGCTGCCCAGCAGCAGAGGAAGGCCCAGACTCCAAACCCCCAAACCAGGACCCAGTTACCAAGTTCAGCCCCAAAGTGTTAAAACAGAGAACAGGCTTGGATTTAGTGCCAGTTCAGGAAGAAAAGGTGACATATGATCTGCAAAGAGCATTTTTACATGCAGATAAGCTCATGCTGAGCCATCAGTGAACAATATTCTTTGCTTACAACAGTGAAATGAGGTAAGAACRTGGGGGAAGGGTCTGAAAAGAGTCTGCACAGATCCAGAATGCCCTGATGGACTTGGGAAGAAGTCTGTGGATGCAACAGACTCTTACGTGGAGGTAAAGCTGAGTTTGGACACCKGCCAGTATTTTCAGTCAAACAACATAATTCTTAGAACTGAGCAGCAATTACCTGCATTTTGACAGCAATGACCCCAGAAATAAGCTCCTTATCCAATTCCTTTAAGACTACCAGTTTCTTTAATGTCAAGCTGCACAACCTGCAAACAGGAACAGAAGAGAAACAGTTACAATCACGCCTGAAAAAGGAGAAGCTCTRAACAGCTTTTACACACAGCAGTATCCCAGTTTGAGGGTGAACAGGCTCCAGACACAAGCCACACACTGAAACAAAGACAGCAGAAATACATGAGGCTTCACTGGCTTCCCAGACTGAATTTCTCCAACTTTTCATAAATACAAGGAGTGGACAGGATCTGTATCTGTCTGCGATACGGACCCATGGCCACGTGAGAGCCCCACGCAGCATTGGCCTCCACTGACCACAGCCTTGCTCTGAGTCAGAAGCTTCAGGGTCAGAGGAATTAAATTCCAGCAATATGAAAGCATAGGGTCAATCTAATTTTAAACTTGTCACCAAGGCTTTCCCAGATTGTTGGCTTTTTCAGTTTCAGACTCCTGGCTCCCAAAGACCTYGCTCCCACCTCATCTTGTCAACCCACACATTCTTCTCCTCACCCCCAAACAAAGTGCTAGCAAGTGGCTCAGGCATCTCTAATGAGGAAGGGGGGGAAAAAAGGAAAAAGAAAGAAGGAGAGGACTCAAGTGGTGCCCTCTGGCCCTGGTGTTCACATGCCACACATATGTAAGTGAATTACATTCTTCACCCAGGCAATGCTGCATTGTTCTGGCTCAAGCTGTTTGCACTTCTGCCTTMCAGCTCAGGGGGCTTGGGAGCAGATGAAATTTGGACTCTGCTACCAAATTAAGGCTCTGAGGTAACGGGATCATGGCACTGGCACTGTCACAATTTCACAGAAGCTACCACCAGCTGGGGGAACTCAGAAGGCACATCCATAAACAAACTTCAGGAAGATAAACCTGAAGCCAAGATAGATCAGTTTGAGGATAGGAGAGGTCAGGGAAAGTTGCTGGGTGGGCTGTAGTGACTAGACATCATCTGTCACACTGGCCAGGAGCCAGCCCTGCCTTTGTGTCAGGTCCTTACTCCATGGCACGGGCATCTCTGGCCTCTGACACGGAATGTTCASATCAGCACTGCCCTTCTCAATCCCACTGCTGAGCTCTTTCTCCCAGATCAAGTCAGGGCTGTTCCTGAAGGGGTGAAGTCCAGCAGTAGAGGGGAAGGAAAGAAGAGCTGATGCTGGGTTTTGGTGCATGCCCAAGCAGCACTAGCACAAGTGCCACTGACTGAASCCTGCACTTGAACTAGTGTACTTCACACTGGTGCCAGGTGCCCAACAATCCAGCACTGCTATGGTGAYCTGCACCTCCACAACCTTCTCCACCCTGGTGGGAAGCTGAAACACAGCTTTGCTGCAATGCCTGAAGGYAGACAGGATCAGCCTGGGTGCAAAACAGCAGGAGAGATGCAGCTAAAGGCTCTTCCCAACMTGAGTGCTGGCAGATGTTGAAGCAAGTGCTGCCTGTCTTATCCTGAAACAGGGTGGCTCTGCCTGAACTCTGCTCTCTCACACAGGGCCAGCAACAGGGAAAAGCCACTGAGCTCTTACGGTCTGCACTCTCCCAAACATGTCCCTGCCARCCTCTTCTTCACCCCAGCCCATACCACATGTTCTCCCTGCTTATTTGCAAAAGCACTGGTTCCTGCTAAAACCCCCAAAAACCAAGAGAAAGAGAGAACTGCAAGCTCTCTCCTTTGCAGAGCTTTGCATCACAAGACATCACAGCCAGAAATGATGCAGAAATTACAAAGATGGTGATAAAACCAGGCCTGCCTGGGCCTCTGTCCCCCTCTGTCACGCCACCAGCAGCTGTATCCCTCAACCTGAAGCACAGGAGAGGGTGTTGGCTTTTCCTCTGAGTCTGAATAAAACAGCAAGCACAGACACACGTGGCTGCTGCCGTGAAGCAGCCAGGGCAGGATCTGGAAGAAGGAGGCTGTGAAGCCGTTTGTTTGCTTTGTAACKCTGTAGCTGGAGGACAATTGTGATCAGCTTGCCAAAACCCACAGAGCTCYGGCCAGTCAGGTGCTGAGAGCAGAGGTAGGACAACACACTGGCATTGTCGCAGCTGACAGGCAAGGAACAAAGACCTTTTCTCTCCAGCCCCAAGCTCGAGGATGGAAAAGGTACGGGAAGAAACAATGGTGTTCTCAGCACACACAGCAGAGCACAAGGAGGGCGTTCTGTTCTCCGCTGGGCATTTCTTCAATTCATCATTTATGAGCTTTGATCAAACCCTGTGGAGCCCTTGCTGCTTGGGGAAAAAAAATTTAAAAAAAATTAAAAGCCTCCTTTACAGCGATCAGAAAAACAAAAGCAGTTAAAAAAGACATGGGACACATCTGCTTGCTTTATCCCCCAGTGCTGGGCTGCTGGTACTAAAAGGCACTTCACACAAAAAACAATGAAATGTTTATCCTCTCCATCAGCGGGGGGCGGGGTGTGTGGGGGATGGATCCAAATCAGTTTAAATCCCATCAAATCACTCTTACCCTCAACACACTATTTCAGTATAAGTTTGCAGCTTACAAATCAAAGCAATCTTCAGAATACTTTGGCAGAAAGAGGCCATACCTTACTCAAATCATCACAAAAGGCATAYGCCAAGTGTGTCCCTGTCACCAGCMCAAGGATCCTGAACTATTCACGCACACAGGCACAGCAAGGATTTGTGTKCCTTAACCGCCTCTGATAACAGCAGCACCTCTTGCCACGGACTTATCTCTTGGAAGGTTTTACTGTGCTTCCATCAAGTCTCAGGGGTCAGAACAGGGACCAGGCTCACAAACCACTTCTACCGACAAGCCTGTTGAGGTTAAACATTGTTAGGTAAAACAGAACAGACACGGGTAGAGCTGGATAGATATGGGAAAAAGCAAGGCTACATTTAGAAGATTCTAATAAATATAGATATGATCTCTGTGAACATGGAGAAAATAACCTAGCACACACACATAAGGGGAACTGAGACAGCCTCAAGTCTGGAGCTGAAAGAGCCTGAAGTGTTTTGAAAGCCTGGGACTGCAATACAGGAGGTGCAGAGAAACCCTGTCTTTGAATGTTTGTTGCAGCAGTGACCTACAGTTGCACAAGGGGAATTAAGTTAGCAAAAGCATTAACTTAGCTGGAGCAGTCTAAAATGAGGACAATGAAAATCTGAGAGCCAGTATTTCCACCCTTCATTGAAAGTTCATAGCAGATCTCCCTGCTAGGAGCACAGTTGGGTCCCAAATGGCAGCAGGAGCCTGTATCCCCTCTGGTCACTCACATGCCCCCACGGCAAGCAGGCACAAGGTACTTTCCTGATCCTGTTCTCAGGTTAACAAATCACGAGACAGTTTAATGCTACAATAAAACTCAATCTTTTTATAATCACTGCTGCAAGAACCAGTTTTAAAGAGGAAATCTGGACCTGACCCAATGGTTTCAACTCGCCCTGCTAATGCAAGTTGTGCCAAGTAGCTTCATCACAAGCCCTTTGCTTAAGGAGGCAGTTCTCTGCAAAGAACATAACATTTTGATAAGTGAGATGCAGCAAACGTGTCCAGAACAACTAAATAAAGTGTCACATTCTTTACTCACTGGGTGTTTTGCTTTTGCATCCCTCTGAGTAGAAAAATCAGGAAAATAAACCCCCTCCAAGAGTCTGCTTTGCTGAATTAAATGTCTGTTTCTCCACAGGGAGCACAGTAATTGCACCGAGACCTCGTTCACACAGAGACAGCAGAATCAACAGGAAGGAAAAATTAAAAATTAAAGACCTGCATTTTAATTAAACCTCACAGAAGTAGAGAATAATAACAGGATGCATCTGCAGTTATAGGGAACTCCAAGTCCAAGAAGGGAGCTGGGGCAGGAGGACTGCAGTCCACAGATACCCTCTGTCCAGGTGAAAAGCTGTAAAGAACTGTTCCTAGAGAAGGTGTTTCATGCCAGGAGCACAATCCTCCAAGGTCTGAAAACCTCAATCAGCCAATAGCTGTGAGGAAGGAATCAGCTTCTGTTTGGCCACCGGACAGTTTCACCTCATCCAAGTTATCTCAGCRTTTCAGGACAGCAAGCAGCCTCCTGCACCGGTGCTTTCAATGTCCACGCTGAGTGTTTTGCTCTGAGCTGACACTTTACACCCACATCGGTCCCAAAATAAATCGCGAGGCACTCRAAGGAGGAGTGGAGGGAGACACCCACCTACACAGGCTTGCCCAGACAAACAGAACCATTCTGCACATAGCTATGGGGGTGTCTGTGCAGGAGAGGCCAGAGCCAAGAGCCCTGCAAAGCATTTTTGGGAGACAGCTGCTTCAGGAAGGTATGAATGCATCAAGTGCACCAACAGCCCACTGCACTAGCAGCTTCTTACACCTGCTCAGGAAGRAAAGAACAGAACAGCACATGGATGAACCTGTTGCTGTATTTACATGCCCAAAGCAGGGCTTTGTATGGGCCTAGGAGTTAGCCTGGGGAGAAAGCAGGGCAGAAATGCTGCCCTCTGATGTCACTGACACATCAGATTTGGCCCCCTGGGCAAGGGCAGCAGTGGTAGGAGCCTCAAGAAGATGCTTTCTCACTTTCCAAAGCTTTATGTGACAATTCCCTCAAAGTCATCTAATCTTAGTCATATTATCAGGGAAACTCCAAGGCAAGGTGAAATCAAAAAAGGAGGCAGAGGTCAAGCACCCCAGTTTCAGTCATGCCAGAAACATAACCTGAGTAACCTGCAAAGAAACCTAATAATCCTTCATTCACCCTTCCCACCAAGCTAACCTTTAGTCAGTTGTTCTGGCTACAGATCCATTCGAGTAACATTTAAGCAACCAGGAAACAATTGCAAACCCAGTATTTTAATTGTTCTTGTTCTCAAGGATCTTGAAATCCTCTTCCTAGCATTTGTACAGAGAATTAAGTTCTCAAGATTCTGGAGACTAAGATCCATAGAAATGCTGGAGCCAGCTGGTCTTGTTCAGCCAGGTAAGAGCAGCTTATTTTACGCAACAGGCTCTACCCAAGACCTCACAAGGACACACAGGTACAGCCAGACACTATCCTTTTGCAGC